AACTTCTATTTAAATGGTTATAACTTTTTGTATAATCATGATCTTTGTTAATAATAATATATTTATATTCAAATAGTTATGATCATTTATCTTATAATAATTATTTCTATTCAAATATAATTATTTAAAATATGAATAAAATTAATATAAAAATTAATTTTACTCATCAATAATTAAATCTTTCTATCCAATGTGAGATGCACCACGTTCTAAACTACCATCATTTGAATCATTATTAAACTCAAGGTTTATGTGCTTGAATCCGTATTAAACTCATATGATCAATAAAAGAAGGGAAAAAAAGCTTCTAAAATTATTCTGCTTTTGCTGTTGATCATTTTATCCATGCATGGTGATGGAGATTTAGCTTCAGATATTGACCGCGTTAAGGATGTCTGCATTCCAAATCTCAAATTTGGTGCCATAAGATCTGTTTATCTCAGCATTCTCTCATGCAAAAACCCATCAATCCAATATTCTTTCTAGGGATTTACTATTTAATAGCACCAATAAATGTATTAAAATGATATGCTTTACTTCTTGTCAAAGTTTGAGCATAATACCCAAATGAAAATTAAATTAGTCTCAACGAAAAGATGCAAGTATTCCAGCACTTTCAGAATCCAAATAACAGTACTAAAACAATCGAGCATCAGCATAAAGTAATTTAATGTGAAGTGTGAATAAAAAACTCTAAAATACAAATAGGACAAAGATAGTCTTATAAAAAAATAGATGCGAATAAAATAATGATGATCTTTGCAAAATAATTTTATACAAACTTAACAGAACTACATATATGAATAAATAACAAAAGTATAAAGCTAATCTCAAATTCCAAAAATATCTTCTTGTCCCAAGAAATATCACATTAATGATAATCATGTGAAACAAAAATGAAGGTGACAGTTGTCTTGATATGAAATTACTGTTGGAAAAACTCTTTCAAAAGGTAATATCATCTTAGCTCCAGTTTGTTGATATGAAGCAATGCAATGAACCATCATCCACTTCAGTTAAGATAAATGAATTTAAAAGCTCTCATAAATCAACAAGCAATATTAAAGACAGTGTGCACATGTAACAAGATTACTAGGTACAATCCGGCAGAAACACATTTACTTGTGTTTGAAAATTTTATATTGTGCTTATTTTAACATTAACTTACCATAAATATTACAAATATTTGATTCAAGAAACATCAAATTCTTAAAATTCACGAATGACAATGGAAAAAGAAAACAGGGTTTATGAAAGGCAGAGAAGTCGTGGAGTAGAGGGAGAGAGAAAATTAAAAAATGAAAATTTTTTCTTGGGTTCTTTCCTTTTTCCCTTCCTTTGATTTTCCTTTTAATGAAATGAGCTAAATTGACCGTTTAGGCTAAAAGAAAAGAAAATAAAGGAAAAAAAGTGAGGATATCACATAAATAATTACTTAATGACTTGCAAAATATGTTGTATGGACGATATTATAATGCATGTCTATTAGTTTAAGGGTTACCACCGCATCCTTTCCGGGAACCAATTCCTTTGGGCTTGTTGGCTTTGCCAAAAAGAAAAAAAGAGACATGGAGGTTGCTGTCTTATCTTGAAAAGGAGTTTCTGAATGACAAATTCTGTCTGCAGGGTTGATTCCTCATTTACGGTCAAATGACAAACCATATATTTACATGGGTCAATTGTCACTCGAGTGCAAAGTCTATATAGCATCTCTTTTGCTCTTCTTTTCCTCACAACTTGTTCTTTGAAGAACTTCTTTGTCTTTGACATGGGAGAAGCTGAGCTACTGCAACACTCAATCACAGGTTAGCTAGCATCATAAGTATTAATAGAAGCAATTTCTTCATTTTTTTTCCTTTTGCTTCTTTAGTTCTATAACTGAACTAGGCTATAGGAAATGAGTAGTGACAGAAACTTTTGAGTTCCTATGTCTCAGTAAGTACAGGTAGCAGATAAATCCATCTCTAGTAGTTACTATTACTGTAAAATAGACCTAAAGCTGTTCCCAAGAACATAATCAAGGTGCAATAACAAACTAGATCATTTGTTACTCAGAATTTTTGGTAATTCCATTTATCATTAGATGACAGAGTTTAATACCTTTTTCTGGAACTCATACAATTTATCTGAAAGTCCATATTGCTTTGTATACTCTGATATCCTATCTGTTACAAGAATAAAAATATAGAAAGTTTTATTTGAATTTGATAATTTGTGTATTTTTATTTGTATATTTTTAAAACATTAAAATTATCACGTCACAGTTTATGTTAATATGTCAAACACAAAGCATAGTTTTTGGTTTTAATCAAACCTATACACGGTTTTAGTTAATTCATGCAGAAAAAGAGATAATCATATAACATGTCACAGATTCAAGTGTTTCAGAGAAAATCCAGTTCATCAGAAACATTGATTGATGCTCCCTAAGTCAATTCTTGGTGTATGTTTTTTTACCAGTTCAGGAGACTGAAGAAGCCAAACTGAAGGAAAATATAAGGGGGTCAAATCAATCAATTGAGCCTAGACCCAAAAACTATAAGAAGTGGCTACGGATGGTTTTGTATTCAATCTTTGTGCTTTCTGGCCAGACAATTGCTACAATGTTGGGAAGACTATACTATGAAAAAGGTGGAAAGAGCCAATGGTTGGCAACACTTACGCAACTGGCAGGCTTCCCAATTCTCATTCTTTACTATTGTTTCTCACCACTCAAAAATTCAACTGCAACGAGTATTACCACAAGACCACCATCCACCATTATTCTTATATCAGTTTATGTCACCATCGGCCTACTTGTAGCAGCATACTGCTTTCTTTACTCGACTGGATTGCGGAACCTTCCTGTGTCTACGTTTTCCCTCATTTGTGCAACCCAGTTAGCTTTCAATGCTTTCTTCTCCTATTTTTTCAATTCACAAAAGTTTACTCCTTTCATAGTCAATTCCCTGATCCTTCTCACCATCTCTTCCATCCTCCTTGTGTCTCAAGGAGACTCTTCAATTCCCAGTGGAGTCTCAAGAGAAAAGTATGCAATCGGATGCATATGCACTATTGGTGCTGCTGCTGTGAACGGATTTGTGCTTTCTTTGACACAGCTCTGCTTTCGGAAGGTTATAAAAAAGGAGACATTTTCAGCAGTCATGGATATGATCATCTATCAGTCACTAGTGGCAGCAACTACAATCCTGGTGGGACTTTTTGCTAGTGGAGAATGGAAACGTATAAAGGGAGAAATGGAAGAATTTGAACTAGGAAAGGTATCATATATAATGACTTTAGTATGGATATCTATCTTCTTGCAGGGAACAAATATTGGAATCACAGCACTGATTTTTGAGGTGTCTTCTCTGTTCTCCAACGCCGTAAGTGTTCTCGGGTTGCCTGTGGTTCCGATTCTAGCTGTCATCTTTTTCGGTGACAAAATGGATTGTTTAAAGGTAGTTGCCATGGTTTTGGCTCTCTGGGGCTTTCTTTCATATGCCTACCAGCATTATCTTGATAGCCATGAATCTGAGACTGAAGTCAAAAACATTAATGTCAATAATGAAGCTTTAAAAGCTTCCTCTGGTTGAAGAGATGAGCTTGATGGTGCATCAAAGATTTGTAGCAAAGAAAACAATGGTGCCAGTTTACTGCCAGTTCTTACCAGCCTGTAAGATAATAATATGTACAAAAGAGAATAAACTGGTCAAAATCAAGGCAATAAATTGGATGATCTTGACTGATGCCTTGGACAAGGTATATGATTTTCCTGTTGTTGAAGATGCAAATATTGCAAACAATGTGTGTAATTATTGATTGCAGACTAATTGAACTTGATAAAGATATTCCTGGTGCAGCCATAATCTTCAAAAATTGAATGTAATTCATGCAAAAATATTCATGTCTTGCTCAGTCCCCACCAGACCCATCAAATTAAAAAATGCACATGATTCATTTCTGCACAAATTCGATGGACATTTACCCATCATCATCATCAATCCCATTTATGTTGTTACAAACAATCGTGCTTCATGTGGATAGAAGAGGATTCTATTCTTTCAGGGCAATCAGAGAACTTGCATTGCCATCCACAACTGGCTGCTGTATATCCTCCTGGGGTCCTGGCTGGTTGGCTGCTTTTCAAACTGCTTCATCATTTGATATGGGAAAACCTCAAGAACTGCAACTCCACATCAGTGGTAAGTCAGCTCGCTACATACACATGCAGAGAAGCAAACTACAAAATCCCATTTTACAGTTAACATTTTTCTTCTTTTTTATTTTGTATTATTATTTACCAAGACAATTATTTTCTTTATTTTCGTTGTCAAATTATAGCAACCAAACCAGCCCTCTGGTCTAATCTCCAGGCTCTAGCCCTATGGTTTTAGGTCTCAAAAACAAAGCAAGAATCTCCTGTCCTTGGAATTGATTGTAGTCTTTGTAGATAATTTCAGTAACAGACTCTTTTATTCTTCAGAAAAAAAAAATTCTTTAAAAAAAAAAGGTTCAGCATAAAATTCCACTACTAAAATCCTTGTTTACTTCTCATCAACTAAATTCCCCATTTTAAACTTTGACGAAAAACAGTCATTACGAATCCAATCTTAGTTAAATTTGTTTATATGATATTTAGTATAATTAATATATTTTGAATTCAAATTTAAATCTTATGTTCTAATAACCTCTCTTATAAAAAGCCAAAAATTTCCGCTAAACTTCTTGCCAAGAAATAATGCAACAAGATTAACTAGAATTTCATTTGATTATCACTTTTATTACTTACATTTTATAATTTATTTATTTTTCAAAGTTTCTAGCAATATCATATTTGATTAGAAATAAACAAATAGCTAAAAAATAATGTTGTTAAAATCATTTTCTTACTCGTTATTATCCATGAAAGTTATATTTTTAATTTGCAAATCTTAAAAAAAATTCATGGTGTTTCGAATCAAGATTAAGAAAACAAATTAGAACCATAAAAAATTTGCAATTTCAAATATTTAATTAATCTTGACCATTAACTGCTTAAAGCCTCCCCAATATCCACTTCACATGTATTCAACAAGGATGCATATCATCAAACCATGGCTCTTTCTTCACCTTTTACGCTAGGCAGGGAAACTCAATGGCAGAGATTCTTATACTTAAAAGTTCAGTGTAATACAACACAACTCATTTGACAGATGAGTTATGATTCCTTTCGTAACAATTATGCTAATGTTTTCTAACAGTTCAAGAAGCCAAGGAAGAAAGCACACCTCAGTATCTGAATAGCATGAAACTGACAAGCACTGAACCCAGAAACTATAAGTGGTGGATGTGTATCATCATGTATGGGTTCTTCGTAATCTTTGGTCAGTCAGCATCCACACTCTTGGGACGCCTATACTATGATAAAGGTGGGAAGAGCATATGGGTAGCTACACTTGCGCAACTTGCAGGCTTCCCGATCCTTATTCCTTGTTATTGCCTTGCACCACCTAAAAGTTGCACCAAAAATGGGCAAATACAGCAGCCATCGGCCTTAATGCTGGCATTAATCTATTTCTCTTTTGGTATTTGCCTGGCTGCATACAGCTTGATGTATTCCATTGGACTCTTACACCTTCCAGTATCAACTTTTTCCCTCATTTGTGCATCCCAATTGGCCTTCAATGCTCTCTTCTCGTTCTTCCTTCATTCACAAAAGTTCACTCCTTTTATAGTCAATTCACTAGTTCTACTAACCTTATCCTCCACCCTCCTGATTTTTCAAACTGATCCAGCAAGCCACAATGAAGTCTCTAAAGGACAATATGCAATCGGATTCCTATGCACTATTGGTGCATCTGCTGGGTATGGTTTGATGCTTTCTCTGACACAACTCTCCTTCAAAAAGCTTCTTAAAGGAGAAACACATGCAAAGGTCTTTGAAATGGCTATATATCAGTCATTGGTTGCCACTTCTTCTGCTATCGTGGGACTTTTCACCAGTGGAGAATGGAAAGGTTTGTCAAGAGAAATGGAGGAGTTTAAACTGGGTAAATTTTCCTATGCAATGACCCTGATTGAGACAGCTATAGCTTCACAGTTTTTTATTGTTGGCGCAATAGGATTGATTTTCGAAGTGTCTTCTCTCTTCTCCAATGCCATAAGTGTCTTGGGTTTGCCTGTTATTCCAATTCTAGCTGTGATCTTTTTCAATGACAAAATGGATGCAATAAAGGCAATTGCCATGGTATTGGCTCTATGGGGCTTTGTGTCATACGTCTATCAATGTTATCTTGATAATAAAAGCTCCAAGAGTGAATATAGAAGCAGCAGTGAATTTTCAAAGAGTCCATTACTTGAAGAGGCTAGTTAATGGATAAGTTGGGCTTCCACAGTTCTATATGAGAATGTAATTTTCCTTAAAACAAGAAATACAACCCCAAAAGTAATCTTTCTTCTTCCTTCTCCATGTAAAGTCATAGGTACGAATCTCCAAAATAGCACTAGCAAACTACAAGGTACATAAAATTTGGTACTGTGTATGTATTCTCTGTTTCGATTTTAGTGTCATCCAAAATGGCCAGGCTTGAAGTATTATGATAATAAGGCTTAACTAAAGCACCAAGCTAGACCATGCTAGTTGGTATAGGAGAAGAATTATTGGCCATAAACATTTAATAGATCAAATGTTTCAAATAAATTCATTTGTTTTGGTTGTTTCTGGCCCTTGAAGAGTTTAGTGATCGTCAGACAATATTGATCAAACCAGAATGCATCCATTTTTTTGAAAATTTTGGTACAAGGAATGTGTAGGTGATTCTTGTTACAAAGTGAACCCATAAACATGAAAATTGAGCATTACCTAACCCCTCAATCTGTTGAGAAATGATTTTGCTAGGGCTGCATGCAATATTCACACCACTTTTATGTTATTACGAGCATGAGAATGCTTTTTAAACACAGCTATTGGAATTGAAAATAAAACTCAGTTATAGTATCCAAATTGAACTGTGCTCCCTAAATTTGAACTCTGCTATCTCTTAATTCACTTTCCATCATCATATCACACCATCAAAATGGCTAATAAACCAATTCTTTCCCTGCCCATTTTCACCCTCTTTGTTCTGTTTCCGTTCTTGTACTCAGGTAACTTCTGGTTATTCTTGTACCCTTTTTTTTTCTTTTTGTAACTATTCTTTTTTTTGGTGTGGGGGAGTAGAACTAAGCTTGCACTTTGTTCAATGTAAATTTTACGCAGGAGGTTCTCTAAAGATGGCTAATGGACAAGTAAATTCTTGAACAAAATATTTCATGTGTTACTATCTTTTACCTCAACATTTTGATTGGATTTTACTTAATTGTTTACAATTCCACGATGTTGCAGAAGACTTGGTGCATTGCAAATCCATTATCCAGCGGTTCTGTACTGGCTGCAAACATTGAATACGCTTGCAGTCAATTAGATTGTCGTTTGATACAACCTAACGGTCCATGCTTCGAGCCAGATACTCAATTGCACCATGCCTCATTTGTTATGAACTTGTACTACCAAGCTAATGGTAGGCACCTTGCTCATTGTGATTTCCGAAACTCTGGTCTAGTCTCCTTGACTGATCCAAGTAAGTGCCACTCGAGTATACAATTTGAGTTCCTATACAAGACCCGTCAAATGGTTAATTTTAAGGTAAATTTACACCACTTTCTGGTTTTATACCAATTTTTCAGGTTATGGTAACTGCACTTTCCATAGCGGTACGTAATTATGATTAGCTTTGTAATCTGATATTCTGATTCCATTTACCTAAAATCTATTTAATCAATGATGATGATGATGCTGATGCTGACGACCCTTTTGCAGGTGGAGGTCTAGCAGAGCAAGAACCATCGGTAATTTGAGGCAACAACGTGTCAATTCATTAACTAGTTTAGCTGAACTTGGCATCTAATGATTGTGGGGTTGCAGGGAACTTGGTGCGTGGCAAAGCCTGGAACAGTTGATGACCTGCTGCAGCAGAACATTAACTTTGCCTGCAACCAGGTGGACTGCAGTCCGACTCATTTTGGTGGTGTATGCTTCTATCCAACCACCCTCATTAACCATGCCTCGTTCGCCATGAATCTTTACTACCAGACTACAGGCAGAAAGAAATCGAGCTGTGACTTCAGGGAGACTGGCCTCCTTGTCTCAAATGATCCAAGTAAATTAGCACGTTTTCCTTTCGGAGTTTTAATTGTTTAATAGCTTTGTTTTGAGCTTGAATATTGGACTGTTGTGCAGGTTATGGTAACTGCTCCTACCAATGCTCAAATCAGTGAAAAACTACAATGAACTTTCAATGTTGTTTCGACAATAAAGTAGGAAAACTTCATGTTCTTTCCATCGCCTCTAGATCAACGAGAAGAATCCTGCAAATTCCAGTTTTCCCTTTTAATAATTTGAGCATTGTTTGGTTCTTGTGACTCGAATTTTGTTTTTGGTTTTTTTTTTTTTATAATCAAAATACAAACTTTATTTGATGAACTTTTGTTTCATATATATATATATATATATATGCCAAGTCCTTTTAGTGAATTAAAGCCAGCAAACACGAATGTTGTTGTCCACTAAGACCATAATGTAGCTTCACGTGCTCATTCTTTTTGAGAAATGGATTTAACCCAAATGGATGTTTATTTTTACCCGAATTTAACAATTTAAAATATAATATAATTATACAACATAAAAATAAAATAAAATAAATCAAAGTGACACATTTAAAATTATAACTAAAATTATAAATAAATTTAATAAAAAATATATTTTTATATTTTCTATTAATATGAATTATAACATTAATTTTTAAATAAAAACGATATAAATAACAAATTATTAAATCAAATGGCATTATAATAATAATAATAATAATAATAAAAGGATTATTGAAAAAAAGAAAAAGGCTAACCCAAAGGTAATGCCGGAGGACAAGAAGAGTCGATTCCACGATACGCAAAAATCGTCAAACCTCGTGAGCCCCACTCCTTCCTCCCTGTCACGCGTGCATCCAACGGTCACTTTCCCTTCCGCAGTACACGGTAATGCTTCGAATCCAACGGCTCAAATCTTACCCCGTTTGACTGCGAACTGCACAAATCCCAATAAAAAATCCCTGAGAAAAAAAAAAAGAAAATTAATTGCTCACACCAAAAATTTCAGTATTTCACCCAACTTCACTTCTTGATCGACGCTGCAACTTTCTTCAGCGCAAATCTAGGGTTTTTTTTGTCAGACCAGTTTTCCGTATTTTTCTTCGTCTCTTGTTTTGGCTGCTTCAAATCCTTCGATTTATTTACGTCTTTTTTGCGTTGATCATTTATTTTGTAAGTATTATCATTTTAATCTTATTTCCTTTTTTAGCTAGATTAATCATGTTTTTCCCCTAAAAATGAGAAAATTTTATGATTTTTTATAAATGAAGTGCTTTATACCTGCTAGGAAATAGAAATTCCTTCTTTTTTTTTTTTTTTTAGTTCCGCCGAGCTTGAATTATTATTGATCCTTTTGTTTAGCTCATTTCTTTTTTATTAAAGATCCTTTGGTTCATTTTATGTAAGTATTTTTATTTGATTTAGTTGCTATTCGATTTTTAATTAGTTTTTCTTTTTTTTTTTTTGCAGTGAAGAAGCTTCGATTTATTTTTCAATAATCATTTCGGGGTTGAGTGGAAGATAAACAAAATGCCGCGGTATTTCGTGAATTGTGTGCACTTGGTGGTTTTCTTTCGTTTCATAGTGTAATTTTTATTTGTTTTTGGTAAGTTTTGTAAATCTAAAACTTGTATGAATTTTAATTCCATTTGTTTTAATTCAGATGATGATTATTTGCTTGCCTTATAAATTTGCATAATAAAAAAAAGAAATTTAAATTTTAATGTGGATCTGTCTGATTGTTATTTCATTAATCTATCGCTGTAGGTGAATTTCAACTGAATTTGGAAGGGATTCAATTCATTCAATTTAGTGTTGTTGGCGATTGAAAAATTTTGGTTGGAAGTGTGAGAATGTACATTGCAGTAACCATAAAGAGATATCGAGCAGTTAAGGAAGTTGGGAAGATTAAAATGAGCGTTGGTGTTATTGCATACTATCAATTAGTCCAAGTTTGTCAGGTAAATTTGTTTTGCTTACCTGTTTCGAATTCTGCGTGTTGTTATTCTATCGTGTTATACTATATGATTGTGTCCTTGGAAATGCATGAAAGATTATATTAAGTAAATCCATTTTCCATGTCAGTTATGGTTTTATTGCTAATTTTGCTGTAGCATGATTGTATTAGGTTGAATATGCCTCTTGATTTCGAGTTTAGTTTGTCAGTTGGCTGATTATAAAAGTCTGTCTTGTTAATGCCACATGCAAATGCACTATAACATGCATGGAGACGAAGGACATTAGTGTGGGCATATGTGTATATTTACGGTTATTATAGTTGAAGAGAAAGAAGTTATATGTAAATTTGAGTGATGCAAGGCATTTATCATTGATCTTTTTCATTTCTATTTGCTGTTCTGGATTTTCTGTTAGTTGTGAGCACAACGAATCTGGTCATGTAGAAAACGCCTAAACTTTTGACCATTTTAATGGGCTTCCCTATGAAATAGAATTGTAAAAGTTATTTGATAACATCAAGCATGACTGAAGATTCTATTAATTTCGTTGAGTAATCCATAAACAGTGGATAAAGTATCTTTTTGTTTTTGGCTGGACATATTTCTCTTTATGTGTTTTTATGGTTATAATGACTTCCTATTTGCTATTGCAGGCTGAGTATTTTCGTCAGTTGCTTAAACCTGTTACGTAGTCTAGTATTACAAAGTTCTTGGAAACTGGGACCTGGGAGAGTCTGCCATTTGGTTGTGTTATACATAAGGTTGTGACAGAATGAAACATCTGGTTGTGTTGACGGTAAATTTGGGATAGGCAGCTGTCATGTTGTGATGGTGATCCACTAGTTTAGTCAATAGTATATTATAGTTATAAGCCTTTTCGCTACTTAAAAGTTGAATATTAGCAAGTTCAAAGCCTAGAAGCAATCTTTTATTGTGAACTTCTTGATTTAGAAGAAAATTCAATGCAGAGTGACCATCAATTTTACCCCCCAAAAGCAGTGCCCACGCTTGCAGATCAAGTGGGTGATAATTACATGCACATCCCAGTTACTTCTGCTTTTGCTACAGTTTTACCTCCATGTTCTAAGCCATTGCCACCCCTCCTTGGCATTGAGTTTCAACCCTCAGAGGTTTGTCCCGAGAATTTCATTATTTTCAATCGGACTGACCATAGAAATCAGATCATGTTCAATCCTGCTATTGCAAACAAGTTTAATGGTCATGGATTAAATGTTTTTGCAACTTACTTCAATGGCAATAATGAGAGAAAAGATGTTAATGATGTGGAAAAAGAAACATCATCTTCTCTGAAAGAGGATTCAGATGATATTGATGCGCTACTCAGCTCAGAAGAGGAAGAACAGGAAGACTATGATGAGGAAGAGGTTAGCACAGCACGGACTTACGGAAATTATGAAATCAACTCTGATTCTCCCTCTTCTTACGGTTCAAAACCAAGAAAGAACAGGTCATGCTCTTCTACTCTGAAGTCCTATGGTAGTGGTGGCAGTTGTGACCCTGAAACTAAGCGACTGAAAATGAAGAAAATGGTGAAGGTTTTAAGGGGAATTATTCCAGGTGCTGATCAGATGGGTACTGTAGCTGTTATTGATGAAGCTGTTAGGTACCTCAAGTCTCTGAAGGTTGAAGTAAAGAAGCTTGGAGTTGGGAATTTCAAGAATGGAGATTGAACCCTTATCATGGTAATGGTTTTCTTACCTTCTAGAATTTAAGTTTACTCTTTGTTGTGTACCCTTCCTTCACTGGTCTCTCTCTGATGGCTTACAGTTCAGAGACAAGGAGACAGGTATTTAGCATTAATGTTTTTGTTGTAATTTCCAGTTATGCACGTATTAATTATGTGCCAGCGCACAAATTGCTGTTGAAACTTTTGGACCTCATTCATCGTTCTCTAAGATGGAGAGAAGTTGAGATGGAGTTTGGCTGTGTAATATGGCTACTAAGTTTCTAGTTGCCATTATCTTTATGGCACAAGTAGCTGCTTTGAATGTTAATATAAAACTTCCTGTTGTTGAATAAATATTATAAGTACTTGTTAAATCCCGGATAAGCACTGATCACCTTTGGTGAGCACCACTTACTCAGACTGCTGACTTTGTTTGTTTGGTGTCCTTTTTTTTGTTTCTTTTTATATTCTCGTGGGGTTTTTCCCCCTTGACACAATACTCGGGGAATTAATTTGTCGGAATTCTAGAGACATGCTGTCAATACATTATGTGGTGACTGATCCAGTTTGTATATATATTGTTATCAGTATCTGAGCGCGAGTTGCACAAATCTGTCGGTCTTGATTCCTTTACACAAAATATCCCCTTTTTTATGTGCTGATATTTTAGGGACGTGAGAGCTCATCGTCATGCATGCATGGTGCTTTTTTTTTTTTGGCCCACAATCCCTGCTCGAGGCAGTAGATAGTGGTGTTAGTAGCACGCTACCACGACCTTTTATTGTTTTCTAACTCGTGCCAAGTTTTGTGCGTCTGTTGGACCCATTGCTTTGCATCAACTTTGGTCAAGTTGGATTTCCTTCTCCAGCACTTTCGACTTGTAAATGAGTTTTCAGGATTCAAAGTTTTCCTTATTATATCATATGTTTATGGAAGTAGAGAGCTAAATCATGTCGAAACTAGAGGGAAGTCTTTCCTCTACGACTTGAATAAACAATAGGATGAAGCATTAGCCTACAAAACTAAAGGGAGGACAGCAAAGATTCAGGGGATGGCCTATCAGAATTGGCCACCCACAGGCAAATTGGATTCCAACAATGCACGCCTTATGTCAAATGCCAGGGGTGGGTTTAGCTTAATACTTGCCTATAAATTTCGTAGCCCACAGTTGACTCTTTGTGAGGCTACCTTCTAGGGAAAAGGCTGGCTATTTTCAGCAGTTGATGCATAAAAGCAACATCAGTGCCATTGCCCATTTGCCAACTAACTTAATTTCAGTGCCTTTGTCCATTTGCCAACGAACTTAATTTGATTGTTTTCAACCAATTTAACGATGGAAAATGGAAAAATGAGATACATTCAAGTATTGACTCGAGCACATTTGACCACTCTTGATCAACATTAATGGCTTTAATTTATCTATCAAGGAAACAGCTTTAATTTATCTATCAAGGAGACAATACCTACGAGTGTGGTGAAGACTAAAGAGGCATGTCAAACCCATTTGCCAACTAACTTAATTTGATTGGTTTCAAGCAATTTAACGATGAAAAATGGAAAAATGAGATACTTTCCAAGTATTGACTCGGGCACATATGACCACCCTTGATCAACAATAATGGCTTTAATTTATCTATCAATAAAACAATACCTATGAGTGTGGTGAAACTAAAGAGGCATATCAAATGTCGTTACAATTGGACAACTGTGGGAAGAAAAGGTTGAAAGACCGAATGAACAAAAAGCAGCTAGCAGTCCGTTGCTATTTACAGGCTCCAAATTTCAAAAACATGGCAATGGCAACCGTACGGCTGCATTTCCACTGCCCTGCAAAGTCAGCAATTTTAACCTTTTGATCGCTGCTCAGTGAGCAATCCAAACTCTTATTTGATCCGATTGTTCCAATTTCCAACTCACGTTGCCCACTTGAGAAGATAAGCACATGAATTTATATATGAATTATATGGGACTGCCTCTTGATACCTGCGCTAACAAAGATCAAGTCACTGAAGGTCTTTCTATATCTCCTACAACCTTCTTAATGAGCATCTTTGAAGCAAGTAAGGGAGCTGTAGCAGTGCAAAAAATAATACCAAACAAGAAAGATGCAGCAGTTCATGAGATAACAAACAACTGCATACAAGATTAACTTCAACTAAGGAGGCACATCGTAAAGACAAAAGAACCACGGCCCATATATCATTTTTAAACTGGCCTTGTTAATTACTTATTGTGGTATAGAAATTAGAGGAATGATGTTTTTCAGAACCTAAAGAACACCAGACACTATCCAATGTTTACATTTTTAAACATGCATCAGCGCAAAAAATCATTCTTAAGTCTCAGCTACCAATGAAAGCATTAGCAATTGAGCAATTTTTTGTACCAATACCTGACAAGACCAGACGATTCTCTGAGGTATATCTGATATAAAGATAATATTATGCAAAGAAATTCCCCATGCAGACAGGTTATAATAGAAAGACCACATCTCATAAACAAGTGAAATTTTAAAGATCAGGCTGACACTGAGAACAGATATATGTATGAATGAGCAAATTCTGAAAATAAACTGAATCTATAGACAAATGAGGCAAAGGGATGTGAACCTGATTCTGTGAGCTTGCTGCCATAGTCCAGCTCTGAGGATGGTGGATTTCAGCTGAACTATCAGTAATGAAAGTTACCGTCGTTGATTCTTCTTGCATGTTAGCTATTGAACCGGGTGGTAACTCTCTCATGACCCACAATACAAAAGCTGAGGGCACTGAAGAACCTAGAAAAGCAATATGAATATCACATCATAAACTCGACAATATGACCTCCTTTTACCATAAGGCAGCAAGGCAAGGAGCATAAAGAAATAAGACTGCAAAGTTTATATCTTTCACTATTGCCATTAATAGCCTTGTTTCAGTTCTGCTGTCAACAGGGCATAACCATGGCAATTACCAATTCACCATTTCATCCATAACTTCAGCTAGCTGCATATTTTAATGATAATATGGATGCAACAAAAAGTTTGCCACCTTCACATGAAAATTATTCCTCAGTCCAACAAGTGCAGATGGACAACAGGTTTCACATTGTCTAATACCATAGTGTTTTGTACTTTGGTGCAACAAGCTCAATTGGAAACTCTAACCATGCCAACCTGCCAGATCACCCAAGTCATTCTGTTGAGATATAAAGTTTATCTGCCAGGTTTTAAAACTCCTTTTTCCTTGGATATATCCTGATTTCTCATACAATTTCTATATCCAAGTATAGATGGATAACGTTCTTATAGCCATCAAATTTACGTTCTACAAACTTGTTCTCTATAACTGCAAATTGCCAGATAAGGTTGAATATTTTAAAGAGCAAAATACAGATGAAATATTTCTAAGACAGAATTAATGCTAGACATGGATCAATGGTAAAAATATTGTGGATACACCATGTCCTAAAAACTGGTCTGCAAAGTAGACTAGTAATACAATAAATTGACAATCAAAAGCCTTTACTTAGTTCATTTGGAGCAAATTTGGAAACTTAGGAGAAAACTTGAATCAAGTACCTATAAAATAATATGAAATCAGTAAAAGAGAAGTATAAACTCCCTCTATGTGTAGTTCATGCCAGTAATAAAGCACCTGCAATTATGAAAACACAATTAAATTTATGAAGCTAGAAACTAAAACATAGAACAAACAATCAGTAGAAAGTTGTGTACCGGAATATCAGTGAAAAAAGCCACAAAAGCACTTAATGTGAAACATAGAACAGATACAATGGTCAAACCTGCAACCTACACAACATCATGAAAAAACTAAGGCACTGAAGTAAAATAACTATAAAGCCACTGGATTTTTAAACAAAGATAAATGCATCAACTGTAAACATAAAGGCCAAAGAATAGGCTATCTAACTTGATACCAAAATGACAAGAAATCATAAAGAATAGTATAATAATACCTTCTGGATCTCAGATGAAGCTCTTTCAGATCTAACATTCCTCATTTTTTGGCATAATTGGAGCCCTGAGTGTGAGAAACAAAAGAAACACATAGAAACATGAGTACCAAGGCAATATACTTCTCTAATTAATGTTATTCAGGCTCTGGTACCGATCAAGAAAGTAATCTACACATGCTCGCTATTAGAAACTATGGATGGGAGGCTAACAATTGTGACTTCTAGTTTTTGGTTCATAAATGATAAGGAACAGTAATGTCTGGTTAGCCTGATATTAGACACTTTTGTCACAATAAGGACAATATCTTCAAACAATGTGAAAAGAAGAAGTAAAATTATGAAAAAGAAAAAGAAAAACCCCTTATAAATTGCTAGTTTTACCATAGTATGCTAATGCTCCACCTAACAATAGCACTGCTGCAGCAAAAAGATCTACATACACCTGCATAAGATAGACAGTCAGTACTTCATGGCTCCATTAGTAATAAAAGAAATAAAAGAACACAAAGAAACTCCAAAAAAAACAGAAGATTTCAACATTGTCTTTTGTCATTTTCCAACCAATAAATTAAAGGAAAATTTGTAAACCCTAAGTCCACCATAATCTTCTTTCTGACAATCAGAGACTTGAAACAGATGGTACTCTAAGAAAACAATTATAGTTGAGACAAAATAGTAGCTTGTTAGATGTTCATACCCGAGCCATAGTTGAAGATTCAATAGGATTCTCTTCCATCCCAATCCAAATTAGCACAGAAAATGTCATCATAAAAAGAAATACAAGAACAGTAACCTGGTCAGAGAAAAACAGAATTAATTGGTTCATAAACGTTAGGTTGTGCAAAAAGACACAACGGGAAATTATTACAGAAACATTCCAAATATACATAAAAACATGATAACTAACAAAAGAATAAACTATATCGGTATACCAGAATCACTATTTTTTGACGGCTTCCGACATGAATTAAACGGAAAGGATAACATATTCTGCGATTATCTGCGATTGATGACCTTGGTCTATTCAATGAATTTTGTAGTAAAGTTTCTAGAAAGCCCTGTTCGTCATCCTCTTCCTCTTCATCATCCGCCTGGTGGCAAAGGTCGACCCTATAAAAAATCCACCAGAGAGACATGGGGTATAGCTGAAGGAAACAGTAATTTTCACACAGAAAATATGAAAACTTAAAAGTAACTAAAACTAGCAAAGGATATTATCCTGATTTATGAAAACACTAAGCTTCAGTACCATTGCATTGGATGATCCTGAAAAAAAAAAAAAAAAAGAAAGAAAGCTCTCCTATCTTTTGATTGATTAAGACATGATGATCTAGAGTCAGCCATTAATGTTGATCTCCGTTTTCCTTTTTCTTTTTCTTTTTCTTTTATTAGACCAAAATGAAAAGTAAATATCTTGATTCTTACAAATATCTCCAATTCTTAGAAAGCACATTGTAAATAAATTGGTTAAAGGGAAAACATACCAGAACGACAAAAGTAGAAGAAATGTAGCAAAGAAGAGAATACCGGGGAAGGCTGCAACACACATATTTGCACTAATTAATACTTAAACTAATCTGCTGCAATGAAAGAAAGAAGTGGAGTCCAACTACGAGCATCTATACATACCCATGGCTATAAAACCACAAGAGTATGACCAGCATAGCCACCCTCTGCATGCAGCAATGACAGTCAACACAAAATAAACGAAGTAACCTGCCAGATATATGAGAATTGGACAATTCAGTTTGAATCAGAGATGTGATTTAAATCAAGCTAGGTGTATAAGGCCAAAAGGTTGATGCAAGTATAAAATACAAATTCTTACCGGCATTAGCAGACCCAATCAGTAAATGAAAAACCTGTAATTGACATTCATTTGGTTCAAGAACATGCCAATACACTTGGAAATAGAAATTCATGTAACATAGCTGTACCATGAATTGGAAAAGAAAAAAAGAGAAAGAGAAAAAAAGCTTTAACATAAATCATATTCATACATCTTTCAGTTATATGTGCACTAATGCATGGACCTTACTAAACATTGACTTGACTTCAACCCAAAAGACTATCTTCTGCCTCCATAGATACAATTGATCATCTCTTTCTCTCCCATTCTACTGATTCCACAATGGTGCCGCATGTTTCCTAATCGTTCCAGTACAAGGGCCTAATAATAAGTTAATGATTTAACTGCATTGTTCCTCTATTAAGGTTCTTAGTTTCCAAAGCACCACTAAACAACTTAATGCAAGTTTTTTTATGTTTTATCGCGCTTTCCTCACTAGGTACAAACTTATAAGATTAAAAAAAGTACGGCAGTCCAACGTGAGTGTAGAAATTCTTCTGATACTTGCAAGAAGTGTATATAAAAGGAAGACACTTGTGAAAAAGTTGGATGTCCTTGGATTCTGGGAATGGTGGTCAAATAGGTTTCTCCTGCAAGCTTTTTAAAACTGATGCATGCTCTAGCTGCAACTTAATTTTAACCTACCCGTTTCTCCAACTTCAAGCAGAGTCAGAAGAGTCACCAAAATTCCTTCATGTTCAGACAATATCACCAGGTTCTGCTTTAAGCGGTCAGATGACTCACATAGATCAGATCAAGGTGCAAGTCCCCACTCGACCAGCTGGTCTGATGACATTGCGTTAAACTAACTAACCTATGAATTAGTACATTCAAATAGAAATCTTTAAATTCAACTAAAAAGTTAAAGAAGGCAACATAGCACTTACTTTTTGGCGAGTACATCCTAGCTGTGAATTCCTTGAATGAATCCGTGCTAGCTGGCCACAAAGTGATGAGATTAAATAGTCATTACAAACAACAAACCAGAAAAAAAAATAAATAAAAAAACAAAATAATCTCTCCATAATTATTAATAGCATCACACTAATGAATTTTGATGAACAATATTATCCTGGGTGTTAGTGTCTACAAAAAGATGGATACATCTATCAGCACATTTGCATAAACCTAGCCACTATGCATGTTGTGTACGTGTGTAAATTTCATTGCTTTGATTCGCATAAAGCCAATATCACAATCCAACACCAGCTTAACAAGTACAACAACAACAACAAACTAAGCCTTATATCCCATAACTCTGGGATCAGCTGTATGAAAAGCCAAAAAAGAAATTATATTAGGTCATAGTGCAGCTAAGCAAGTGCAGAATGATAAATTAATTTTTTATAACCACAATACGGTACTCAATATATAACAAGCTACATAAATATAAAGCAATGTAAAAACAGCAGATTTTGTACATGTCATGAGAATAGGAAGGAAGTCAAGATTACAGAAGCTCAAACCAACACTGTGTTTCGGTAACAAACACAGTTGGAAGAGAAAAGGAGGAGTTGAATTAACTACAAACATTGAATTGTTCTCAATTATCAACTGAAAGAGAAATAACGATCAACAAGCAAACTATTGCACCAAATTTGTAGATCTGTCCTGGTTTCACGGAAAGAGCAAAGACACCTTGGCATCCAGTCAACCAAAAATTGAATATATATTCCGTCATATCAGTAGATTTCTGTTACATACTGATTAAAACATGAATATGGAGAATTTTCTTAAATTTATGTTGGGGTAAGCAAAATTCATCATTATATACCCTTTTAGCCATAAATATAAAAATGGCACTTAGCATATGATTTAGTAAGCATGACAGCAGACACTCTATTTATTGAATCTAAAACTCTCCCTATTCAACCAGCTAACATTTGGGTCCTTAACAGAGCCAACAATTAAGTTCAGCAGCCAGGCTGTACTAATCCATTCTTAAATAGATAATGTAAATTGTCTTGAATTACTTTCCCAACATGAATATCAATTGTATTAGCAAGAAATGTAAATTGAAGGATTAAACACAACATTATAGTCGATCTATGAAAAATAACCTTGAAAAACCAACTATCATTCCATCAAATTATCAATGTTCTTTTTTCAAAAATGAAGAAAAAACAAATATAATCAAAATATGCTGAATGGAAAACTCACATAGAACAATCCTAAAACTCATTGTTATACTTATTTCCCCGATATTACAAATTACCCATCAATCAAAAACTCATTAAACAAAAAACTCACTAAACATCTAAAACGATCAAACTTTTAACAAAAAATCAGAAAAAAAAAAAAAAAAACCTGAGAAAAAGCAATAATAGCAGTAATGCCATCAAAGCAAGCAAGACCCGCGTTTACTCCAACTAGTTGTGGTGGAAAACTACAAAACTTTTCCTTTTCTTCAAACATTTAGCTATCTATCCTTTCTCCCTGCTTTACAAAACAAAACAAAAAACTATATATTTATCTATTATTCTCTCTACTGTCTCTCAAAAATAATAAAGAGAACAAAAGAGCCGACTCTAGCTCTTTAAACAAATAAGTATACACCTGAAATTTTTTTTTTTTTATCTTTTACGATCTCTTTGTTTCTTTTGTTACTGATTCAGTGATTTGGCTGCTATGTATGATTTTTTTTTTCATGAAAAAAAAACATAAATACTGAGAATTTTTAATTGAAATCTGTTTTAAAAAAAAACAATCACATAACGAATAGGCGGTGGCTTTCCAGAGTTTTCGAGACTGAGAAAATATAAAGATTCTGAAATCTTTTTTACTTTGACTTCGGCCCTAAAAATGATATTTTTATATATTTTAATTGAATTTGATAATTTATTTGTGATATTTGTATTTTGTAATTTGTTTATTTGTTTTGTTTATATTTTGTGTTAAATATATATAATATAAAAATAATTGTGTTATAATTTATGTTAAAATTTTAATATAAAATATATTTTATTTTTACTAAATTTTTATATTTTATTATATTATATTATATTTTTATATTTAAAATAATCACGAGATTTTTTTGGCAAAAATAATTATTTTTTTATTAGTATAATATACTTTCTTTTTTTAATATTAGTACTAATTAGAATTTTTTTATTCTTTTATTAATTTATAATTTTGAAAATATAAAGTTTTGTTTTAATGTGTGCAATGAAATAAAGATTCACTTGAAATTGTTGACCTAAATGAATCGAAATTAATGACAAATTAATGTAAATTTATTGCCTATTGTTTTGTGTCATTCTTTCTACTGAATGAAATTTGAATAAGGAGTGAATATGGTAAGAAGGAAATTTGACATTTATTACTATCCCAGAAGTCTTCATCAATAAAATTTCTACTTGACATGTGTCCAAATGCAATTGGTTGACATTTTTTTGGCCTTTACAACTTTGTATTAAAAATTATTTAAATATTAAAGAATAAAAAAGGAAGGCTCTGAAGATTAAAAATTATTTAAATGTTAAAAGAATAAAAAGCGGAAGGTTCCGCAGAAGCTTAAAGCTCCCTCCATAAACTCGTATATATATATATATATATATATATATAATTATGCATTTGATGGGAGGTAATTTTTTTCAAAAAAATTATATATAATTATAAATTTTTATATTTATTTTTTTTAAAATGATTCTAAATTATAAACATTTTTTTTGGGAGAAAATAATTATTTTTTATTAATATATATAATATTATCCAAATACCCAAAATGGTTGGAACAGAAATGGTCCATGACCAAAATAAGTTGTTCCACCAACAAATTTCCATTCTTCTTCCATATCTGGGGGAACTTGAGCTGTCAGATTCAATAGGATTGGCCGAAAGAAACTAGCCTTTTTCCCGTTTATTTACTTGAATTTCTGTTTTAGTTGGATACATGAAGAAAACAAACTGTATGTTGAGAATTACAAGAGCTTCAATCAATTTCAAGTTCCGAACCATGCATGCCCAAAGACAGCCTTGGCTATGGAATTTGACATTAATCTTATCACACTGTTTGTCTCTCATGATGATTTCCTCCAAAAAAATTAAGCATAAGACATTCCATCAAAATATGCAAATGCAGTGAAGCTTCAAGAATAACAACCAATGGCTATAACATACATGCAAACAATAGGTCTGAATTCAAAACCTTCTTCATCTAAATTCAGATGCAAAATCAATTAATACAGCTTTTATCCTCCAAACTGTTTGGGGTTAAAGCTACAAATTTAGTCATCAATGAGTTTAGGGTGTCATTTTCTTATCATCATCATCATCACCAAAACACGTTCCACTTGTTTTTTTAGGCAAGGGAAATGTACCCAAAAGCCAGAAAAAGAATTTCTATCCCAAAAGACAAAGAATACAAGTAGAGGACAAAAGGTTCATGTCAGGTTTAGCTTAGTGAATTTTCTATTGACTGTTGTTAGTCAATTCCAATTTGATTGTTCATTTCATCACATGCATATTTCACTGTATTAAAAAAAAGGGTTTATTTCAGAAGCCTTTTGTTTGGTTTTCTGATTATATATTTCACTTTTTGGCATCTTCTCTTTGTAATTTTTAAGAAACTCTCAGACATTGGCAGCGCAGACTCCTAATGTTATACTTCATCCTTCAGAAATTAAGATAAAGCCTTTGCTTTCTGATTAGCCTATGATTTATTTGGCTTATTTGGAATTAGCCCTCATGCATGCATGCCATCTTCATGAAAGTGTTATTGTCTGGTTGAAAATAACCTTAAAAGGGTGTTTATTTTCTCAGTTCTGAAAAATTTTGTATCCCATTGCATGCTTATATATAATACATGTATAATGGGGAAACAAAGGTTTTCAATCATTGGCCATATCTCTAGCTCTAATTTTTCATCAGAAGCTCTACATTAATAATTTTTACACGAAAATGTATATGTTGAAGTGGTTGGATGGTCAAGCATCCTATGGAAAGAGCACAACTCAATTCATAAATCATGGGTTTATTCTTGGAAAAGATTCTATATTCTACAGACAATTATATAGTACTAGTAATAAAGCAGTCAATAAAAGTGTAAAATACCATATTAAGAAGAGGAGTGTTGATATATTAGGTGGGGAGTTCTGGACTTTGGGCTGCAAAGCCGAAATAAACTCTACAGTTTCGTGGCCTATGGACTTGTCTGTGGCTTCATGGGAAAACTTTTAAGTCTATGACCCGAATGTTAATTCTGAATAGAACAATCAAGTTCACTTGCATTCCTATAGAGCCAATGAACATGCAATAGCTCCAGGAAGAAATCCATGAAGTATAATCATCAATAACCACTCAAGCCCTCATTCTTATTGCTCCAACCGATGAACTCCATGAAAGCAGGCAATGAACTAACCACTGATTTAAAAAAAAATTGATGCACCATCTTTCTTCATTGTTCTTGGTTTTTGCACATGGAAAATGCTAACCCTGTTCTGTGGAGAGTTATGGTGTTCATCTTTTCATTTACTAATAGTTCTGTTTTACAATTTCTTTGTAATTCTATAAGGGCCTTATGATAGATATAAAAAGAACTTCAACACAATGTTTGCATCCAAGAACCTGTCATTAGTACTGCAAATTGCATTAACAATAGAAGTTGAATTATTAGAACAATTGACTGCCTTCACCTGTAGTATCCTATATAACTCTGCTGCCAAAGATTGCACTCCTTCATGGGAAAACTAAGTAGAGATGCAAAGCAGGTTTCTTTCATATTGATAGCATCATCATATTGGATTGGTGGAAGCAGGTCATGATAGAGCCTGACTTCTGCTATGTGCATGGTGTCTTTTTTCTTGATTTCTTTTGAAGTCCTCCCTCTTTTTCATCCATTTTCCCCTCATTTAATCAGTTATTCCTGGGTAAGCCTCTAAATTTACTGAGTGACATTATCAATTTTCAGTACTATTACTTTTCAACATATAACTGACTTAGAATGCACCATGATATCATAAATATTTTTCTACTTGTGGCATATTTGCTGTAACATATGACTGTCCTCTTTTAGTTAATTAATTTGTTTCCATCTTTCCTGAAATCAAAGACAGCCCTTGATTAGTTCACCTTGGAGATGACTATTAATGAGCCTTCCCCACTGGCAAAGCATGCTCCTAATTCTATCAAATTAAAATTTTGCACAACTAAACATATACTAGACGGGTGGTAATACAGTGCAACATGCACTACCGATCACATCTATCTTAGCACATTATTCGGCAATGATCGAGCCCTAACAAACACAATCAATGAGTCAAGATTTGTAAGTAAAGAATTTAAAAAACATATCTACCTCCCGATTGGATACTGGACTCTTAATTGTTAACACGATCATGGATGGCTAACATCGAATGGATGTTATCGATTGCTGAAACAGATACATCATACTACCATAGCCTGATTAAGCACAGTTAATCACTAATTAGACACTTTAATAAGTATGTGCGACAAATGAATAATATTAAACATACTAAAGTGAGAATTCATAGTGCCAATGGAGACATTTGTTCTTCATACGCTAAGAGAGGCAATGACAGAAAGGAGACAACTTAAAGGGCTAATTGCATTCAATTTCTTGAGTTTCCTGTCCTATATATATGCATCCCCAACAAACAAGACCTTCATTCCAAAGCATCTAATATAACATTCCCTTTTAACCTTCTTTTCTGTTTCTTCGGTCGGATTTTTTTAGCAATGTCAGGCTCTGGCAAGAAAACTAAGGGCAGGCTGGAGGTTGACAGGTTGATATCATTCTCAAAATGCAGATCAAGGATCTACAAGAAAGCAAGTGAACTAGCTGCATTATGTGGCGCTGAGATTGGTTTTATAGTCTTCTCACCGGCAGGTAAGCCCTTTTCATTTGGCCACCCCTCTATTGAATCTGTTGCTAACCGCTTTCTGCACGAAAATCCCGCTCCAAATGACAACACTAACCCTCTTGTGGAGGCTCTTCGAAAGGGAAGAATCAATCAGCTAAGCCAGCAATTAAATGAGGTACTTAGCCAACTGGATGCAGCGAAAGAGACAGCAAAGGCGATTGATCAGCTGACAATTGAGAAAGAAACTCATGGCTGGTGGGAAACTCCCATTGATCAACTTAACCAGAAGGAACTCCAAGAACTGTATACTTATTTTGAGGATCTTCGCAACAATCTCTATAGCAATATGAATAAGAGAGTGTTGGAGCCACTTCTTCACTGCTTGCTCCAATGGATCCGGCTCAGTTGACCAATCCATTTACTACCAATGCAAATGAGGAAGTTCCTCATGTCTTTCCTCTTGGCTACGGCCATGGTCACCAGCAGTTATGAACAACTCAAACTATGTTGAGTTATAATAAAGTCTACCTTGCTCCTGAAGCAGGATTTTTTGCCTGCTGCTTAGTAAAATCTTTTACTTATCCAAAAAATAAAGTTCACCTTGTTAGTTGTTATTTATCTTTTTCATATTGATCTTAGGCTTGTGAATTTCAGGAGTGCTAAGACATACATGATCATGTTCATATAGCCAACTAACAGCAAGTCTAAAACCTGTTACAGTTTCCTGTCTGCCTAGGGCTATTTCAGTTATGTATCCCATTATCAGCTTAAATATTTTTCAATAAACTGGTGATTAGTGAAGTCTTTTATCCATTCCTATCACTGTTACTGCATGAGAGAAAACTTTTATGCTAAGTAAACATTTGAGCTCAACCTTGAGCATTACTTACATTGGTGACTCAGCCATTCATATGCTGCTACAACACCCTTCAGTTTCAGGATAACCTTAAAATATTTTCATATTAAGGAAACAGGAGAATATATTACAAAGGAATCTGCTCTTTTCCTTTCAAGTTTCCAGATCAAGTTTTGCAGCCAGATAACCAAAATTAATGAAATTTCTTGAAGATTGCCCTGCAATGAAATATTATCTAGCTAGTTTTCACTTAATGATTAATGGCGGTCCATAACAGACACGCCTGTCTTTAAGAAACTAATTATACTGTATGGAATTTATCGTAGCTATAAATTTTCACACTTCATATGACTCATTGATAATATTTCATAGAAACAGGTTGCTTTTGTCAAATTTATGGTGATGAAAAAGTTTCCTTATCACTGCTAACTGCATTAATGTAACTCTTAAGTCTTAATATTACACTCCCGTGGGAATGGAATTGAATAAATTAATGGTAAGAATATAACTTCATTTGAAGTATATATTTCCTTCACTTTTTCTTCTCTATTTTCCCATTCATTCAATTTCCAGTTAGTTAATCACTCTAGTCCTTCTAAAGAGTGCCAAAATTCCAGAAATTATTATGTTCAGATAAAAGCTGTGATTTACTAATTTTGAGAAACCGAAATCTGAGCCTTTTTTCTTATCAAAAGCTCCAGAGCAAGATTTAACCTGAAATTTTGGTTTTTCCTGATATTTGATTCCATTGCGTAACATTATATGACAACAAGAATCATGGAAAACGATGCAAATATAAGATTAATAAAGGTTAGAAGTTCATATGTTCTTATTGGTTTTAACTTAAACCAAGATTAAGCACATACCGATCATTAATATTTTATTCATTGTCCAAATTGCTCAAGCTCTTAATTTATTCTACATGAGAATATTTTGATGAATGAAGGATGATAACTTCAATTCCAAAATCTTAAAAATTGGGTGGCAAGAAGAATGAAGGATTTGGTAGGTTTCCCCTTTGACACTTTATTTTAAGATGATTGTACCAGGACAAGTAAAGCCACCCAATGGCCCAATCACTTCTCTATCCATGACAATTTATGTTTCCTAAATAGATTTACATGATAAATATATTAGAACTGGGGTTAAGAAAAATATGATAAATTAAGGAAAGATTTCAAAGTATGTAATGATGTCATTTTTTTTTAAGTTTTATTCATTTTCACTATATTAATTTGTATGCAAAACAGTTACTGGTGATAAACCTAAAAAATATAATGAAACACAATGATAGACTAGGTTTTGTGTTGACAAAATTAATCCATTGAACTTCCATCGGCATAAAAATATAATTATATGATTTGGTTATAAAAAAGCTTGGGGGGGGGGGGCTTTTCTAGCTTTTGTTTCATGAGCAAAATATTTTTACTTCATAATTTTATCTTGTATCTTTCGAAAACCAGAAAAATTCTATTTATAATGAAATAGAAGTTATTTTGTACAAACATAATTGTCAATAAATATGCTTATATGTATAAACACAACTGTTTATAAAACATAACTCTTTAGTAAATAATTTTATCAATTAAAAAAAATAACTTTTTACTATCACACGCAATTCATGTAATTTATTATTTTGAAAATGTTCCAACAAAATATAGTAAATCATATTATAGCAAGTTGTTTTGCTATAAATTGTGCCAATTTAATTCTTAACCTTTTTTAAATTCTTTCAACCTTAATCTCTCTGTCAATTCATGAGACTAAAGATTGATAAAATGTACATCAGTACATATAAGCAGTGCCAAATGGTATTTTGCTAAATTAGAACAAGGTTGAGTTCAAATGTTGTGTTCTTCTTATTAGCAAGTTACAAAAGAGAAGAGAATGTGAGCACAAATTTCTTTTCTTTTAGAACTAAATGACTGAATTAATTCAAGAAAATAATGGAAAGCAGTACCCCAAATGGCCTTATTACCACCCACAAAACAATACCTTGATATGTTTTAAAAGAAGGAGAATCCATAAAAATTAACTCAAATTGAATTGCTTTCTAAAATCTGATATTTCCATGTTAGGAAAAATAATTATACATGGAAATAATGAACGATTTATGGTAGTATCAAATATTAGAAACATTTCCAACCCACAAAAACCTTTCAATTTTCATTAGTTTGTTCTTATAAAGGCTGATCTATCTCAAGAGCAAAGCCATCTTTCAAAAAAATTTGTGAAAAAAACATGGGTCGGAGAAAAATTGAGATGGAAATAGTGAAGAATAGCAGCTCGAGGCAGGTTACTTTCTCCAAGCGCCGATCAGGGCTGTTCAAGAAGGCGAACGAGCTTGCTATCCTTTGCGGTGCTCAAGTTGCCATCGTTGTTTTCTCCCCTGGAGGCAAGCCCTTCTCGTTTGGCCATCCAAGCGTTGAGGCAGTGGCGCAGCGGTTTCTATATCAGGACGCGAAACCAAAAGTTTCTATTCCTGGCCAGGTTGAGTGTCAGCAGGAGAGCCAAGTTGAAAAGCTTGGACAGCAGCTTAATGGCCTTCTCAAGCAGCTACAGGCAGAAAAGAAGGGAGGAGATATGGTTGATAAGGCGATCAAGGCAATTGGAAAACACGAGTACGGAAAACCCATCAACGAACTCAACATGCATGAGCTTTTGGAGATGAAGCAATCAATGGAGAAGCTTCGTGAGAATCTGAAACTGCGGGTTAGTGAGATTGAGGCATCGTCTTCTTTGCTGCTCCTATCAACCAATCCTGTCAAAGTTGCTGATCGTGAAAAATTAAGTAGTCAAAGTTGCTAAAAAATGTATTATGGTTTGTTCTTGAATAGAATTGATCCAAATTTCCCAAATTTTAGATCAGCTAATGATTTCTGTCATGGCTTTATTTAGTAATAATGTTAGCAAATATCTAATTGCATATATAATTTGTATTCATGTTCATACGTACTAGAGTAATTAGATATTTTTAATTAGCACAGTGCTAGGTTCATGCACTAAAATAGTATATTTAAATGATACATTCACATATATATTCTTTCTTATAATTAACATCTTAATGAAAAATATTAAAATTTTTATGGACTATAATAAAATTTTAAAAATTTATATTTGATGTAAGTGTGTGAAATGCATCCATTAATTAGTATATATAATTTTTTTCTTTTAATTATCTTCAATTAATTATTAATTTTTGCTATATTTTTTTATATATTTTGATTCTTATCTTGTCCAAATACATTCTCCAAAATCATTTCCTTTTTCATGATTTATAAAAAGTTTCAGTCATTGGACTTTATTTAGTAACATTTGGGGGATCGTAGTTGGTCTTGAACACAATTGAATATTCCCAAAAATACAACCGAACTCCATGTATCTTTCTAAACTTGGTTGGAAGCGTTTGCTACTGATTAGCTTTAAATTGGTAAATGGAATACGTTTACACGATAAAAACTTAGAGGAAGTTTTTTAAATGAAATTCATGAAATTTTTAACTAAAAATAATTAAATTAAAATTAAAATAAAAAATCAAAACTGCTAACTTGTAAGTGTGCAAATTTTGAATAAATTTTGATATATTTTTAATAAAAATATTGACAAAATTTTTACCATCTATCAAATTTAAATTATAAACAACATTTTTAATAATTTTTTTATATATTATTGATCTTTACATTAAATTTTATTAATCTATCGATTTAAATTGTTTATTAAAATTTTTATTAAGTCATTTTTTAAAAAAAATTTCACAAATTTCACTTTAAAACCTTCATATAAATTTTTTCTTTATAGACATTTGAAATATATATATATATATATATATGCAAAAACCAATGACATATTCTCACCAATTCCTGTTACTCTGAAACTAAATATATAGAAGCAAATGTTTCCCGTGTTGAATGTATATATTTATATTATGCCTTCATTAGCTGATTTTTGAAACAATGCACTGTAAATTATAAAGGTGCATCAAAATGAATTAGTTGGAGAATCTGTATTATGCTTGACACATGGCAAAATATAAAAAGGAAACAAAAAGATTAAACCTTTGAAAGAAAATATATATTTAAACCGACCATGAAAAGAAAATAAAACGATTATTCTCAAATCTTTGAAAGAAAATATATGTTTAAACAGACCAAGTATAAAATATAAAAAAAAAAAAATTTAAGATTGAAACCTTTATTTTCTTTTGCAGAAGTTCTTGAACTTTACACGCTAATCCAATTACAAAACAGTAACTAATTCATTTATGCTTCATTTGAAGGCTTAATTTTTAAAATTACATGATGACACAATGAAAATTATCTTCACTGATCATTCAAATGAAGCTTTAGTTATTAATATTATTAAAGACTATTTGTATTATCATATGTAACAATCAAATTAAGTGACAGAAACCTAGACAAAGGATTATGCTTTTTGATGGTTTCCACCGGCAAAGATTCGATTGAGTGCTGCACTTTTTTAATTTAAAACTGTTGACGTTTTACTTCCACTATTAACAAAAGCGATGGCTTTGTCAAAACAAGAAAAAAAATCATAAGCAAGAGCAATTTTGAAAAGATGAAGCAGTATTTTTTTTTTTTCCAACTCAAAAGGTCAGTCTCAAATTCAAGCATCATTCTTAAAGAAGTGCTGACAATTTGAATAGAATGTGGAGAAGTTCCTTTTCATAACTAGAAATAGTTATGATTGTCAAATGGCATAAATTTTTTTTCTTTTTTCTTCAATATTCTTCGACTTTTTTAAAATTTTATACGAAAAAATGACACGTCAGATAATTTTATTTGATTCTATAACATTTTCACTTAGAATGACTAGAATGAGAGAATTCCACTAAGGCAGCTACAATATGAAACTGAAACGAATAGATTCTTTGGCATCATTGGTTCTTTATCGTTGTCGTGATTATACTTTCCTGTATGGTTGTTTTATGAAAAAAGAAGAAGAATCTATTAGCTCAAAAGATTTGTAAATTGAATTTAGAATTTAATTTAAATAGTTCACTTAATTTTTTTAAAAGGTTAATTTTTATAAAGCTAAAATTTTGTTTTCCAACACTTTTTTTTTTTAATTTTTTAAGCTCTGATCTTATTTATACAAAAAATTAAAGTAAATTGTATAATTATCAAATTAATGCATCTAACATGATTTAATTTAATAATTTCTCTAATAATAAATGCATACATTCTCTTCAAAGAATTAAGTTTTAAATTTTTTTTCATAATAAAAATATGTAATCAGACAGTTGTACTAAGTTATTGATATTTCAATAAAAAAAAAAAAGGAATATGTTTTTGTTGAACTTTAGCCAAGAATTGGTCATAATTTTCAAAATAGGGAGAGGGGCCGTGATCAGCTGCATGTATTTGACGTCAAAGTCCAAATAATCAGCTAATACTACTATAAGTCTGTCTACAACAAAACGGAAGGAAAGTAACGCTTTATCAATCTTATCGAAATAGAATGATATGATATACAAATAATATAAATAAAAATATATAAATTATTAATTTAAAATTTTAATAAAAATTATAAAAAATTTTAAAAAATTAAAAATATATATTTTATATTTTTATATTAATATAAATTATAATATATAATTTTTATATAAAATATAATATAAATATATAAATTATTAATATTTTATATAATGCAAATATACGTATCTACGGAGAAAGAACCTTCTACTTGAAAGATAGATTCAACGCGCACGGTTGGTTTCTCAGTTTCTTCCCATCTAGCGATGGAGCGTGGACTGGTGGCCCAAACATTCCATCCCAGTTTCCCAGTACTAATTAATTATAAATTTGTTGACCTTCTCCCGCACTATCATCGCCAAGGGACGGTTTCTTGAAAAACTCCAAAATTCCAACTTTCCCAGGACCCACACCATGTTCCCATTTCTGATTTTGACTCACCAATGCTAACCTGTCTCCCCAGTCCCCACTATTCCTTTTATCCTTGTTTCTTAAGAAACTGAACTTTTCCTCTCCGATATATAACTACCTCTCCAACTCGTCTTCTTCTCCAATCAAAGGCCAAGGCCTAGAAAAGACAAACTAAAAGTGAAAGTGATGGGTAGGACGAAGAGGTGGGTGTTGTTCAAGAGGCTGATAAAGAAGGAGTTATGGAGGTGGAAGTTTTTGGGGTCTGCTTTCAAGTGGAAGAAGCTAAACATTCATCCTTCTTTTCATGACGATGTGCTTTTCAGGATTGCGTCGGTTTTAGAGGCTATTTTCTTGGTGGCTACTCTCTGTTTTTTCTATCTTTGTTGGGGTTGTCACTTTTGACAATTGAATGTATGAATGTAGTGTGTATCTTTTTTTTTCTCTCCTTTTGGGGTGTAATAATATTCAGAATTCTGAGTTCTGAACTGGGTTTTGAGAGGGAAAGTGATTGCAGGGTGGTTTTCATTGAGAAGAAATTACTTTTCACCATTATGCAACTTTAAATTCCCAGACTTGTTGGAAAGAATGGTGGAAAACTGGAAAAGTAGGGAAAGAAAAGCTAACTTGGTAACTTCAGGCTTTGTTGGGGAAGCTTTTTAGTTAATGCACGACTTTCTTGATGTGTAAAGTTAATGGTTAATCAAATTAACTTCTGTTTGAGAATCTTCTTTTGTTTTATTTTCCTCCTTTCTACTTGTTCTTTAAGTTCATGAGTTTGATTTTCCTCATTGATAAAAAGAGAAGGACTAGTCTTATCTGGTATTTGTACAAAGATTGATTTGAGCCACTTTCAATTTCGAACCAAGGAAAATGTGAGGAATTTTGCTACTTACTGTGTAATGTTTAAAGGTTAGAGTTGCCCCATTCACTAGGTTATGACTTCTGAGTAGCAGCGTTATGCAGGACAGGAATCTTTTGGTTCTTGGAGCAGAACCAAGGCGATACCAACCAAATTTAACAAAAGAAACGACAAAAAAACAAAGGCAAGACAAGCCTAGGAGCAGAACCAACTACTCTCATTTGGTTGAGCCTTTAGGATTCTTGGGACCATCCTCAGGTCTGATACATTTGATTCTTTAGGATTCTGATACATTTGATTTTTGAAGTTTGCAGAACCTTATGGAAAAATATAGATACAGCAGGAAAAACCCCTTGCACGTGCAACTGGCATCAATTATTGCCAATGGAATTGCCAACACCGTGGTTCAGTGAACGACTGGCAAAACTGGCTGTGTTCAAGCTTAATTGTTAAGACCTAACCCAGTAATTACCAGGCCCCAAGAAACTCATTAAAGTTCCAATTGGGCCGCTTGGCCCTTCGAATAGTAGTTTCTCCACTAAACAACTGCAGAAACAATGTGACACCCTTATCATTTAGCAGTCATAACTGGTTTGTGTTTTTGTTCCTCCCCTGTTTGTTCCAGATACGTCAAATAGTACCATAAAATTAAGTTACGTATGAAGTTGTCAGATTTAAAATTGTTCTATTAAGCATAACTAGCTAGCCTGAATTCAGATGGACTTGAAGGGTTTGCATTACCTTTACAGATGTAAGCACAAAGCAATCTAATTACAGCGAAGGACAAAAGCCGGTCTCGCTGAATTTCTTACCATGAAGATCATGAAGAAGCCAAGGTATACCGTGAATAATTAATATATACAAACCTCATCATTGGTTTGCACTCTTTCTATTTTCCTATAAGAAAAATGAAAAATAATGAAAAAAATGACCGCGTTTCAAGACCAAATCAATGACAATATTGCTGAGCTTACTGATAAACCTACCAGATGAGCACAAGAATAATTTACGTCTGGAAGGCTTTATTTGCAATGAGAGAAGAAATCAAGTAATCATTTCAAATAAATTCCACATTTAGTAAATACTAAAAGATGACAATGAATTTTCAATAAAGAATTTGGAAATGTTGATTGGTTTTGATTGAGTTGGTCATATTTGAATTTTTTTTTAACTTCAAATTTTATAATCAACAGTCTTCCTTCATAAATGATCTATAAATTCAATAGAAATATTTTATGAGACCTAAGATCTGCCCTACCCTCCCCTCGTCCTAACTTCTAGGTACAAAAAAAGTTTCGAAGGAGCTGGGAGCAAAGCTAAAGACATGATCCCGCAGTTAAAAGAGATACTACTATCACTTTTCCTAATTTTCTCGTGTCCTATGAATCAAGCATTGTACCATAAATCTTCTCATCATAACTGGAAACAATTTACTTTTAATCTTAAAAAGAAAAGAAAATGAAACGATCACCCTGTTAATCATCATCGTCATCATTATCGTTCTTCTTTTCTGCCTCAGTGTATATCCCTAAGCTAATATTGCTTGCCATTGATAGCTGCCGACTCCCAAAATCCATTATCGTCCCTTGCGTAGACAAGACATTCTTGGTGTCCCAACCAAATCTTCAATGCCTTGGCTATTTCCAGAATCAATGAACAGTTGCACCACTAGGTTCTAACAACGAGGAAGTGTAAGAATACTTTCTTCTTGTCTGGTTTTTATTGGATGGTTTGGTTGGATTTTATTTTTGGTTGTATCTCTGACTCTGAGTGTTAGATATAGTTGAATTTGGTAAAATACCTGAAGGTGGATTTACTCTTTCCTGTTATATACAATTCGTATCATATCTACTGAATGTTGGGGCACACATGGTTTAGGCACTTTAGGCCCAGATTTTGTGCCCCCCACCCCCCATTTATCACCAGAATCGAAGATAGTGGAACATCCCACCCAAACCCGAAGTACAGGCAACCAAAAATATCTGCTGGAAGCAGTTTAAAGACTACAAAGCTGCCAGCATCTCTCATCTCTTCCCTCCAACTTCAACTCCAACTCCAATCTTACTTGGATATAGGAAAAGAGTGAAACGTGCATTCTTCAATCTGCATGACAATTTCTCCATCTTCTAACACTGCTTTGAAACACAGCCAAAACCGTTTTCTTGGCAACTTTCTCCCTTCAAAACCATATGTACCTCTCAGAAGAAGTACTAAAAAAAAAGGACTTCTATCAACTACTAGACAAGCAGTGTTGAAAGACTTCCATGAACGAAGAGTCTCAAGGTAATTCAAAGCAAAACTTGTTTTTTATGCATTTCTTATTTGTTTTGTTCTTTAATAATATGTAATTTTATTCAAAATTTTATATATCCTCCACAGATTATCTCAGGGTTACAGAATTTTGACAGAGACAACGTGGCTTCAGTTGTCAGACCGATGAACATTTTCTTTAAGGTCGACATCATATCTCGCTTAGGCAAAGATTTTGACAATAAGTTAAACCAAAGATGCTGTGATGGCCCCAAGAGAAACAACCCATATCCAGCCATCCATAATGTCCTTATTATAACCAGAAGATGCTGATGTGATCATCTAAAAAAGATGTCAACTATAAACATGTAAGAAGGAAATGTAATTATGGTAAATCACCAGATAAAACAATAGCATTATAGAAATGCAAATATAAAAACCAAGATCATAAAAAGGACTGCATTTAGAGCCGTGTTAGCTTACAGTTATATTGGAAGTTAATTGTATGTTTATATGACAGATAAATGTGTCTTAACTTAAGAAAAAATACACAGAGAAGCAATAATTCAACAAACGTGCATTGTTTCAAAGCCATTCTTCCCTGGATTCATGACAATTGCAAACCCAAACATCAAGCAAACACCTAAGTAGAGTTCAACAGAACTAGGCCAGGAAACATTTTCGAGTACTCTAACTTCATTGAATAATAGATACATGAATATTTACTTGAACAATAGCATAATGGATGAAGCATCGATTGATGAAAAATATCACCATAATAAGACACCAAGTTTCATGTCCAAGACACATACATGAATATTTACTTAAGCAATAGTCAGATGAACTATGAAGCCCGCACAAGCAGTAATTTACACAAGAATGACACAGGGATGAAAATACTCAATGCAATAATATACATCTCGTAAGTCATAACCACTACATCTATTATTCAATGAATTTCCTGGTAAAACACAACCCTAAGGATTATTCATCAAACTCTGAGTCATCTTCAGTTTCTTGATCTTCACCACTTTCCTGCCATGAAAATTTTGAGCAAGATAATTACTGCTTATCTATTGCAGAGATAAAATATAACTGAAAACCTATATCAAGTTTACCTTTCTTCTAATATATTCTGCCATGGCTCTATCAAACTCTGCTCGTTTCTCAGTTGCGATATCATAATATTTAACTTTTTCCTATCAAAAGCCAAATTTGAAATTTAAAAGTTAGACAACCCTGACAATTGTTTATCAATTTCATCTATAAAGTCCTTTATTTTCTATTTAAACGTAATATTTTATTTTCTTCCAATCCAAATCGGGAATATGAACTGTCAACCCTCAATATCATTGGCGTCCTTGCCATGCACTAATATTGATTGCGACATTAACTCTATACATGCTCTAACTAACTTATGCACCCCTAGCTAGGTTAAGGAAATTCTTCAAGAGCAGCGGCAACAACAAAAATTGGAACAATTTTACCACCAAGCAACAATGTGCAAATCTTAAAAGTATGGTGCAGTAGGATATCAAAACTATTTCTTCATCTTTAAGCAAATAATGCTATGAGCAGATCATGAACGTGGTTCACATTGTGTTTAAAGTAAACTTAAGTATGCTTTGACAAGCCAACGCCACCCATGATAATGGATTAATGGCCTAAGATTTTGACTAGCACAAGACAAAACATTATTACTAAAACTGCTTTATTCTCTGACTCAAATAAACATGTCTCCACCAATTAACTCTTACAAACATATTCATAAAAGGTTGATATAAGTTATCATAACTGCAAGTGCTATTGTTTTCCAACATCATAGAGAAAAGCCAGATTTGATTTACATGCTGAGCGTGGAACAATTCATATTGCAGGCAAACCAAAAATAGCTTATGTCAATTATATGAATTCATGAGCAATAAAGAGAGCCAATTCAAGATTACAAGGCACAACCTCATATGTCATCAGCTTCCACTTCTCACCACATGCCTTTCCAATCTGAAACAATTTATCACAGGATTCATTAACATATATGTTAGAAAGAGACAGAGATATTCATTGGCTAAATTAAGATTTGTGTTTTCAAACCATAACATACATCTCGCATTGACTTGATATCTGGATTCTGCTCTTGAAATTCCTTACGAAAATCCTCCCTTGAGTATAAGATAATGAAAACTCGGTTAGATTTGTGTCCATCACAAGAGGACGGTCACTTTCTTCAATAAAACTAGCAGGCAAGATCCTTTGATAAAAGCTCCCATGCTCACCATTCAGAATATATATTTTTTCTACATACAATTGAACCTAGGACATCCAAGGCCCCATGAAGTAACTCTAAGTTCAGAATCCATTGGTAAGCCTAAAAAGCCAACTTAGATTTTGCATTTGAAGACAGCCAAGAAATATGAAAATCGACTTTAACTCAACACAACAACGAAAATCTTCCAAGTTTGGCCAAAAGAATAAAGAAACAAATACAAAAATACATAGCATAGGAAACTGCAGGCATAAGAGAAATGTTATTATCAACGAAAAAGTTAACCAAATTTATGAACACAGACGATACATAAGAAAAACTCACAAGAAGTAAAAGAAAGCAGTTGGGGGTTTCTTGGGCATTTTAGCATCAATTTTTGTCTTCTTCTTCTTCTGCTTCGATTTGGGTCTTGATTTCGACTTGGGTCTCTTTTCTCTCTCGCTAACAACACTCTGTTGAGCTGACCTCTTCATTTTCTCACTTGATTTTACCCTTAACACCATTTTCCTATCAGGTTTTCTTTCCAAGCAACAGAATCTATCATTAACCCCAAAAAGTCCTCACTAACAAAGCATACAAAAATAACAAACAAAAAAAGCTAATTTTGTTTTGCAGATTTCTATTTTTTTTCAGCACAGCAAAGAAAACTGAGATGAATAGGAACAAATACTATAAAGCAGGAAGCAAAGAGAGAAATACTCATTCGAGGGTGTTGATGGATTATAGGCAGAGGCAGCGGTGGTTGAAGATGAGCGAGATTTTCTCGACTTTGTAGCTTTCTTTGCCATTTTTTTTTCTTTGGGTTAGTTTTTAAGTCTGTGGTGCTCAGGCAGGCAGGAGAAGGATACCTCGACCGCGACGGAGACCGGGACCGAGCGCTTCTGTTTTGCTAAGTTCACGCCGTTTTTCTCACCACCACTCACCCGTTTCCAGTCGGATCAAGTTGGAATTTGGACTTCGTCGCGTGAATCTGAGTGAATAAAATAAATTACGAGCCCTCAGAGTTAAATTATGGGCTTCATTAATAGTAACACTTGGTCTTTTTTTAACCCTACAACAGGCCCAATTACTACATCTATAAGCCCATTGGTTACGGCCTTTTTTTTTTCCTTTATTTGAGCAAATTACTCATGATTTTCTCAAATTTTGATTTTTTTTTTTTGAAAAGGAAAAAAAATGAAACTTGCTTAGGCTTCATATATAAATCATGGAATAAATTGCATTGTTAGTTAGTAAATTTTTTTATAACATTTTATTTTCATTCATAAATTTAAATTTTTAAAATTTTACAAATTTAAAATTTTCAATTATAATATTTTAAATTTATGAAGTTAGAATATTGACAAAATGTACCACATAATGACATATATAACGCTTAAATGGATATAAACATGATAAATTTCGTTTATATTCTATTGTTGATAGTTGAATAAACTTATAATAAATCAAAGGATTGTGAATAAAATTTAAATATTGTGAAAACATTACGACTTCATGATGCAATTTCCTCGTGAAAAACCATGTAAAAAAAATGTGTTATTTGGACTTTATGAGTGGTTAAATGATACTTAGATTCTTATATGGTGGTATGTGAGAATTTAGATGAAAGTTATATAAATATTTGTTTATGTACAATAACCAATATAAAATTTATTTTTCTTTTTAGTATATCCAATAAATATCTTCAATGATGGTTGTTATCTTGAGTACAATATTGGTTTTTAACATTTAATCACCAAATTTGTTTTTTTTTTTTTTTACAAAAAAAAGTCATAATTTAAAAATAAAATAAAAAATTATAAGTACTTAGATTTATATTTAAAATTTATTAAATATTATATTTAAATAATTATATATAATTATATTATAAGATACATGATTACCTGATGATGTTACATACCTGTAATCTTATATGGATAATTTAAAATTTTGACATGTTGAATAATTTTTTAATCGTAGTTGCCTACTTAATGATTTTGTTATTTAAAATTTTAAAAAATTAGATTTATCCAAATATTTTATGTTAAATAATTTATAATCTTTATATTCAGTTAAATGAGATAAATTTATTGAAAAAAATTAAAAATTAAAATCTTATTTAATATTAACACTTTATATAAAATATGTATATATTTTTTATCTTTCATTTAAACTATGTAAATACATTATAAAACAATTTTCAAATTATGGACTTCATTAATTAATTAATTTATTATATTATTATTATTATTATTGTTGTTGTTGTTGTTGTTATTATTATTATTACTATATGTTATTAAATCGTGGATATATTGCATTCATATTATTCGATTTGTAATATATGTTTTTAATATTTTCATCTTAAATCAATCGATTTTTGTGTAGTAATTAATAAAACAAAATGCATGCAAGAAATATGTATATTGTTATAATTTCGCATATACAATAAATATATAATCAACTCTCACTTTAACTTTAAATTATTTTTCAATGTATAAAATTAAATAAAGTGTTATAAAAAACTTTATTTAATAAGTTAAATGAGACCATATGTCCATAACAACATATAATACTTATAGATATATTTTATTTGCATTACAATAATATTTTTTTAACATTTCATATGTCTTATAATGTATATAGACCAATGGTAATTATCTGTAAAATTTCTTAAGAAAATAATTTAGAATAAAATAGATGGAAAACTATTTTTATATAGATAATGAATTGAAATTTTGGTATGGGGTTAGATCACATCACCTTAATAAGAAGATAAATGCATAGAATGATGAATATGAAGGGATAATAATCGTTTTATATTATATTTGATTTGTATATAAATAAAAAAATAAATTTACAAAGAGGATTAATTATTATTGTATAGGATAATTAAATTCTCTCAAAGTGAAGAAGGTTATTTGTAATTTATTGGATTAAACTTACACATCTTATTATACATTTAAAAATTACATAAATTTTGAAAAAATATAATTTTGATCAATTAATAAATTATCAAATTATAATTTTTACACACAACAAACACAAGATATGACACATAATTTAGTTTAATTTTATTCATAATATTATCTTATTATATAATATCATTATCTTGTGCATTACACATCCCGATAATATATGACAAAACATTCATTAACCAAGTAATTAATTTATAATTAAAATAGTTAAATTCAAAAAAAATAAAGTTATTGATTTTTTACCCTAAGTATAAAAAAAATAACAACAAATATTTTATCTAAATTTAAAATTGCACATATCTTTTTTTTTTCAATATTCAAATACCTTATGATTAGTTTTTTTTTTTAATTTAAAAAATATATATTTTAAGTCTATTAATAATATGTGATTTTTTTTTTAGTATTCAATTTTCCTTTAATATTTATATTTTTTTTGTGATTTTGTTGTTTATTTTACTAAGATGAATTTTTTTCTTTGATATTATTTTTATTCTATTCTTGTTTGTTTGTCACGCATTTTTAATTGATATTTTTCAGTATTTTGATCAAAATGATACTTTAGTAAAGGTATTTTTTTTTTTAATCGTTTTATTATCATCGCCTTTAGCTTCCCATGTCAACCATGCAAGCTCTTCAGGCCCCATCCTTTCGAGCTTCCCCTCTAAACCCTCTCCAAAAACCCAACCCCAATCCCCATTTTCCCAATGTATCAAGACTCCCGCCCAGGCCATTCAAGGGATTCTCTTCCATCACCGCTTCATCTCCCATCGTTTCTGCTCCCAAGCGCGAGAAGGACCCCAAAAAATGGATTGTTGTCATGGGTATGGGGTTGGTCTCCGTTTTTGGGAATAACGTCGATGCTTACTATGATAAATTGTTGGCTGGGGAGAGTGGGATCGGACCCATCGACAGGTTCGACGCTTCCAACTTTCCAACCTGGTTCGCGGATCAGATCCGGGGGTTCACTTTTGAAGGGTACACTGATGGAAAGAACGATAGGCGACTTGACGATTGCTTGACGTACTGCATTGTCGCGGGCAAGAAGGCGCTGGAAGATGCTGATCTCGGGGGTGATCAGTTATCTAAGGTGGTTCTTTTTAATGGTTTTTGGTTGGTGGGTTTTGTTAATTGAACTGTTTTGCTTAACCGAAGATTATTCCTTTACTGGCTTTGGCAATGCGCGATATTTACAAGAAAGAGTTGTTTGTTTATTTGCATGAATCTTTTGAACCTTAGCTAACGTAGCTTAATTCTACAGACCCTGATGCTTCCTGTTGCTCGTTGCTGCTTGCTATTGCTCTTGGTTTCATGGGTCCCAATTATTCAATTTCAACTACTTGTGCTACTTGCTTCTCTGCTGCTGCCAACGACATCCATCGATGTAAGGCTGAATTGATGATTACTGGTGGAACTGAAGCTGCAATTATTCCTATTGGGTTGAGGAGTTTTGTCGCCTGTAGGGCATTGTCTCAAAGAAATGATGATCCTCAAACTGCTTCTAGGCCATGGAACAAAGATCGAAATGGCTTTGTAATGGGTGAAGGTGTTGGAGTATTGGTAAGTTAGCATTCATTACATGCTAATCCTATATATGCGTCATTTAGCTTCTTGTTGGTTGATATTTTGTCTATTTCTGGTCAGCGTCTTGTTTTGTCTCCGTTGGTTATATTGATACCGTTGTTAGTAATGTAGGCATTTTGCCCAAGCTTCGAGGTATAACTGTGAGGGAACCTGGTATGGTGTGTGTATGTGTGTGTGTGTGTATGAGATACTAACCGTTCCTTTGTAATATCAAAATCTTTGTCCTTGGAGTATGTTGTTTGATGCAGAAGCCTAACTCACTATTTATGTGAAGTTTGTAACATATTATTGTGGCGTTTGGCGGAGTTGAAGTATAAATGCTCACCGGGTAATTGAGGAAAAGATTTCCAGTTATACTTGCATACTTTGCTCTCTTTTATCACATTGAAAACTTGGTTAATGAGACTCGGTCTTGAGTTAACGGATTGGTGTTTTCGCACAAAGATTCTCGGTTTGATTGTTACTTAGTTGGCTATATGGTTATATTCAACTGACTGATCTTAATGAAGGGGGAAATGCACTAGCCTTTTATGATGAATTATTTCTTTTGGTTATCAGGTAATGGAGACCTTGGAACATGCAATGAAAATAGGTGCACCAATTATTGCTGAGTACTTAGGTGGAGCTGTTGATTGTGATGCTTCTCATATGACTGATCCAAGATCTGATGGTCTTGGGGTGTCTTCATGCATTTTGAGAAGCCTTGAAGATGCCGCTGTGTCCCCTGAGGGGGTGATTCTTTCTGCTTTTTCACCGAATTCCCTTTATATATGGTAGGAGTAATCCAGTTTGTTCTGGTTTCTAGATCTTTCTCATTTCCCATGTTATGTTGTTTCCTTCTAAGTTTTCTGACACCTGTGGAAGCATTTTTTTTTTTAAATATATTCAATAGCACCAATGACTTCTCTGTTTTATGGTGAACTTAACGGCAGTCTTTGAGTTGAGTCTCCTCGAAATATGCATCTGGTTAACTAATCATTTCCTCAAATTTTGCAAAATTTGAGGTGACCATACCGTGATGTTGCTCTCTTGCTATTGGCTGATTGCTTTGCTTCTTGTTTCTGTCTATGGTAGGGCATTGCCTGGGTGCAGCAGGTGGTTTAGAAGCCATTGCCACTGTGAAGGCCATTACCACAGGATGGTTGCATCCCACCATAAATCAATTTGTACGTGCTAGTTGCTTGTTTAATACCATGTTTGCTCTGTGAAATGTATTAAACTAACTTAAGATATTGTTGAGTTTTGTTCATGCATGGTTTTTAATTTTCTTTTTAATAATTTCCCATCTCTACTTTTTCTTCAAACTTTCTCCCAAGTCTCACATATTTGATTTTCATTTTAAAATTTTTAGTTTTATTCATTCACTCCTTTTTGGTTAACAAAAACCTTTTTATGATTCCTCCTTTTGAGATTCCCCTTCAAAATAGAACATCTTGGTTCTTGCGATTTTTTAAAATTCATTTTGTTTTTCCTCTCCTTCATCTTCAAAAACCTCCCAATCCCAACAATCATGGTCTGGATCAAATAGATAATTTTCTATTATATGTACCTCTGTAGATCTAAATGCAGAATCCAAAGCTTTCAGTTACGTTTGACACTGTTGCCAATGAAAAGCAGTAGCATGAGGTTAATGTTGGTAAGACTCCTATCCCTCTCATACGACATGACAAGTTCCTATTGCAATTTCTTCAAGCCTTTCTCCTCTCTACTTAATTTCAGTTGGTTTGGACCAGAAGCCATAGTTCTAACTGAGCCCTTTATGATTCAGCAATTTCGAATTCTTTCAGATTTGGTGGACACAACGCTGTTGTGGCATTTTCTGCCTTCAAGCCATGAAAGTCTCGTCACTTATTCTGCATTTTGTTAGGGAAAGATAGATCTTAGCTCGTATGAGATTCCGCCATTTATCCATTCTATAGGCTGCTTCAAACTTGTAACTTTTTCTTGACCCATTTTGAGTGGAATTCTTACTAGCCTAAAAATTGTGGACTCAAATTTTCTTTTTCCTTTAAACTACTGTTGTTACGAGGCTAATCAGCAAGGTGTGATTTTTTCTGGTCTGAGTTCTGACTTTTTGAATTATGTCACTGTTAATCGGTGGAAGATAAATTTAATAATTTAAAATTTAATATAATAACATAATATCAATATGATATAAAAAAAAATATATTTTTTATATAAATACACAAACCATTAACTCTGGTAAAAGACTCGATTTCGGGATGTTTTAAGTCAATATCATCTCAAGTGGGTTTCATGGAAGTCCAATCTTATAAGTTTTCAAAAAATCTGATAATTTTATAAAAAAATTAAGAAAAGGGCAAAAAAAAAAAAACCGAAGACTCTGGGATCAATATTTTGATAATTTTATAAAAAAATAACCCGACTCCACTGGGGATCGAACCCAGAATCTCTGGTTCCGTAGACCAGCGCCTTATCCATTGGGCCATGGAGTCATTTCATAGCAATGTTTTGCAAAATATTATTATCTATATGTGAATGTGAATCTATGTTAGCTCAATTCCCGCCAAAACGGACTCATCCGCTCACTTGCTCCCGCCAAAACGACGCGCTCCCTGGTAGGGCTGAAGAAATTAAAGGAAAACAGGGGCTGACTGCAAAAGCGTTTAGTTTTCTTCTTAAAGTGCAGTGTAGAATCGGGAAGAAAAGAAAAGGGAGAGAAAAAAATGGAGTTGGGAGCTCAAGATTATTCAGATCGGAAGAAAGATATCAGCCAATTCCTGTCTCAAGATGTAATTTTCCTTCATCTATCCACACTTTATCCATTTCCTTTCTTTAAAAAAAAATTATTCCTAGTAATAATTTTATCCATATTTTTAAATTTTATTCGTTTAATTGCTCAGATTTACCAAGATGAAATCAAGGCTATGATAAATCACAAACGCCGCCGCCTCATCGTCAACATCTCCGATCTCCACTCTTTTAACAACTTGGCCCCTAGGTACTCTCCCCCTCGTCTCTCTTTTTCTCTTCCCTTATTTTTTTCTTTCCATTCTGAGCGTTGGTTGAATTAAACTTATTAGGGTTTTTGTTTCTTATTGTTCTGAGTTTTAGGATTCTGAAGAATCCGGGTGAATATATACAGCCATTTTGCGATGCGGTAACGGAAGCTGCTCGAAGTATTGACCCAAAGTATTTGAAAGAAGGAGAAATGCTTCATGTGGGATTTGAAGGCCCTTTTGTTTCTCGTCGCGTTACACCCAGAGAGCTCCTCTCCGAATTCATTGGCTCCATGGTCTGCGTCGTGGGCATTGTCACCAAATGTACGTCTTTTCCCTCAAATTTTCTTTCTAATTTTAAGTATAATTAAATTATTGAAATATTGTAGAAATTGAATTTTGGGTTTTGTAAAAGAGGGCACATTGCTTTGAAAAATTGTTATTTTGGGAATTGAAAATCCCTAATGCTTTTGGGCACTTTTATATGCTATATATAGATTATGTTTGCGACCCTAGTTATATGGTTTGCAATTTTCCCCATCAATGCTTTTACTGTGTGGTGATCTGCTTTGTATACCCATATCCATCTAGGTTCTCTGGTAAGACCAAAGGTTGTTAAAAGTGTTCACTTTTGTCCTGCCACTGAAAGCTTCACCGTTCGGGAATATAGGGACATCACCTCCAACAATGGTTTGCCGACTGGGTCTGTGTATCCTACTAGGGTAATTTCCACTGTTATAGATCTCATAGTATCAATATGGCTACTGGATTAAGCATGTCTCGTGGGGAATATTTTTTCAGGATGAAAATGGCAACTTATTGGTGACTGAATTTGGGTTGTGCCAATACAAAGATCACCAGACCTTATCAATTCAAGAAGTACCTGAAAATGCTGCACCTGGTCAGCTTCCACGAACTGTGGATGTCATAGTTGAGGATGACCTGGTTGATTCATGCAAGCCTGGAGATCGTGTGGCTATTGTAGGGATATATAAAGCTCTTCCAGGAAAAAGCAAGGGTAGTGTGAATGGTGTATTCAGGTATTTCTTATGTAGTGCATCATTGAAAGTAATTCTTAATCCTCCTTGTAGTTTGGTCTTTTCTATTTACAATCCTGAATGAGCAATTTTGCAATGTAGGACCGTTCTTATAGGTAATAATGTCTCTCTGCTCAACAAAGAGGCCAATGCACCAATCTACAGTCCTGAGGACTTGAAAAATATTAAAAAGATAGCAGAGAGAGATGATACGTTTGACCTGCTTGGTAACTCCCTTGCACCTTCTATATATGGGCATTCATGGATAAAGAAAGCTGTTGTTTTACTGATGCTTGGTGGAGTGGAAAAGAATTTGAAGAATGGAACTCATTTACGAGGGTTAGTTGTACCCTTATTATTTAATTGTCTTTGTAGTTATGCATCTGATAGATCATGGCCCTACTGATTGTAATTCCTTTCTTTGTGCTGCATCTTGTTTCTTTTCATTTTATGCTTTATGCAGTCTATACAACTATGCTTTGAATTAGGTAGAGTTTTAAGTCTTAACATAAGCAAATTCTTGCTCTTTTTTAGGGACATTAACATGATGATGGTTGGAGATCCATCTGTAGCAAAATCCCAACTTTTAAGAGCAATCATGAACATTGCTCCCTTGGCTATTTCAACCACTGGTCGAGGTTCTTCTGGTGTTGGTTTGACAGCTGCTGTCACCTCTGACCAAGAAACAGGTAAAGCCTTTCAATTGATTCTAGCATTTCAGCCTATGGTCTTATTTTTGGTGTTTTTGAGGTAATTAATATCTCTGTGATCAGGAGAAAAAAGACTGGAAGCAGGTGCAATGGTCCTTGGTGATAGAGGTGTTGTCTGCATTGATGAGTTTGACAAGATGAATGATCAAGATCGTGTTGCGATACATGAAGTCATGGAACAGCAAACTGTAACTATTGCCAAAGCTGGAATCCATGCATCATTGAATGCTCGATGCAGTGTAGTGGCTGCTGCAAATCCCATATATGGAACGGTGAGTGTATATTGGTTGCTAAGATGCACTGTCACTCCACTAGCAAGGTTGTAAGTCTTGAGTTTATACCAGTTGTTGGTTGAATATGCAGTATGATCGTTCATTGACTCCAACGAAGAACATTGGACTTCCAGACTCTTTGCTTTCTCGTTTTGATTTACTGTTTATTGTCTTGGATCAAATGGATGCTGATATTGATCGTCAAATCTCTGAGCATGTTTTGAGAATGCACCGGTTTCGCTCTGCTATTGATGGAGGTAGGCAAAGAGTTTGCTTGTGTGCTTAAAGACTGGTGGCACATGTACCTACTAAGATAATTATAATGTAGGCGAGGTAGCTCTTGATGGAAGTTCAAGATATGGAAGAGAAGATGAAGCTGATGCTGACTCATCTGTTTTTGTCAAGTATAACCGAATGCTACATGGGAGAAAAGCAGAAAGAGGTCGGAAGCGTGATACTCTTACCATAAAGTTCCTCAAAAAGTATATTCATTATGCGAAGCACAGAATTCAGCCTGAGCTGACTGATGAGGTTGTGATTATTCTTTTACTATATGTGTGTGTTTATTTATTCAGTAATCCATTTATATTATCCTGTCATTTGAATTGATTGCTTTCTTCTGTTTCTTTCCTCTGCTTTGATCAATACAAAAAATATGCATGGTAATTCTGCAATATCTTCTCTAACAGAAACATTCATTACCTGTTAACATGTCTCTGCTACCATATTTAACTTACCTGTAATGGAAACACATGTAACTTACTCACCCAGGGCTTACTCTAAAATGTTCTCACCTGCAGGCTTCAGAACACATTGCAACAACCTATGCAGAGCTCAGAAATGCCAGTTCGAATGCAAAGGTTTGCTCTTCTAACCAGCCAAGAAACACCTAAATATACTTACCTCAACTGATAATTCTAATTCTGTGATTGGTATTTGTAGACTGGCGGAACCCTTCCAATCACAGCTAGAACGTTGGAAACCATAATTCGACTGTCAACTGCTCATGCAAAATTGAAGTTAAGCAGAAAGGTAACCTTTTCCTCAAAAAAGAAGCCATTTCCTGTAATACTTGGGATTCCCATGTTAATTGTAGATTTTTTTCCCAAAACTTGCTTTTATTAATCTTTAAATTCAATCTTTAATCTTTGGGGTCAACTGTGACCAAAACTAATCTGGTGATTTCATGTTTGTATGTCTTTGAATTGCATGTTCGGCCCTTGCATATGGCTTATATTTCCTTTTATATGCATTTGGGTTTATGCGTTTTATTCATAATTCTATTGCATGATGTTTATCATGGCAGGTTACCAAAATTGATGTTGAAGCTGCTCTGAAAGTTCTAAATTTTGCTATTTATCATAAAGAATTGACAGAGATGGAGGAGCGTGAACAAGAAAGGCACAGAGAAGAAGCGAGAAAACGCAGAGCTGATCGTCAAGGGTGAGCATGTGATAAGCCTTAAAAAAAAAGAGATTTTACAAATGCATGTTCCTTACAATTTTACAAATAAATATTTCTCATAAGCAATTCAATTATCTTTATAATGTAGATAACTTGCTTTTCACTTTATAAATTTTTTCTGAAAATTGTTTAACGATCATAATTTTTCCTGATGTGGTTGACCTTCTCTTCTTTTGCTTTAATTAGCCCAACTACAGATGCTATGGAAGTAGATGATCCTCCAACAGCCCAGCAGCCCACTGCCACTGATTCTCTTGAAAGGTCAGAGTCCTAATAAATACTTAATTTTTGGGGGGACGAGATCTGATAAACACTTCAATTACAGAGTTAGCACGTTTTTTTCCCTCAAAATCAGCTCTACTCTATTGCTTCTCAGTTTCATTTTAAATTCTTTTTTGTATCTCCTTGTTCATGGTTGCAGAATAGAAGCATTTAAAGCTATATTTGGTCAGCATATGCGAGCGAACCACAAGGATACTATATCAATTGCAGAAGTAGAGGATGTCGTCAACAGCAGAGCAGATGTCCGTTACTCTAGGGCAGAGATCATCTCTATATTAGAGGTAATGTTGATATATGGTTGTGGATGGGAATATTGATATGAATTTTTTATATTCTAAGTGATGGATGACACTTCATTTTTCCCATCTTATTTGGTGTAACATTTTGAAACTCATATCTACTTGTGGTTCACGCTACCAGTTTACATGTTTTTTATTCCAACTAACCAAAATATAGAAAGGCTATGTATTAACAACCACTTTTTTCACAAATGTCAGAAACTGCAAGATGATAATATATTGATGATAGCTGGCGATACAGTGCATATGATAGTATGAGATTTAACAGAAGACCTGGATTTGACCAAACTAACCAGGTACGGAGCTACTTTCTTTCATGCAATCTCAGCATTGTGGGACTGGGAATGTATCTGGTTCACCATGCTCTAGCGCAATCAATTCCTTTACATATGCAAGTTTTGATGTGTCTTCATCTCTTCAAATTCTTGTGGAATTTGCCCATGTGTTTATACAAAGTTGAGTGATGCTTGGACGTTGGACCAGCCCTCGTCTTCGATCAGTTTACTGATGACTGTAAACTTACTAGGATAGCTTTTTTTTTTTTCTGACAAAAGGATAAAAAAAGCCTTCGAATAAAAATTTGATAATGAATCTAAGTTTTTAGTTGAGCTCAAATTTTTTATTTTGGATCAGTTGAATCTTTGAATATTTATTTTTATATCAATTGAGTCTTCTATTTGACGGAAATGTATGTTAATGGTTAATCAATTTTCGTATAATAAGGATTCAATTGATGAAATATTCGAGTATTTAATTGATTGCAATAAAACGATAAGAATTGAGATAATTATCAAATTTTTGTTCTGAAGTTTTTTTTTTTTTTTTTTTAAAACTTTTTTACTTCTTTTCATCGATAATTTATTATATTAACATATGTAAAACTTGCTTTCCTTTTAACAGAATGCAGGCAGTCATACATGGCAACAACCTTAAGGCAATGAATATAAGGTGAAGGGACAATGTATTCTGGTGGAAAAGAGGAAATATGATCTGGCATGGAAGTCTTGATTTGAAGAACTCTGATTTATTTTAAGCTTGAGTCTTAAAAGAACGATGACTGTTGTTGACAAGTGAACTGAGAATTGCTTTGAATTAGCTTTTACTATATGCATTAGAATTTGACATCACCTGTCGCTTTTACAAGTGAAGATGTAGAAAGTTCAGAATCATCTCGACATCTGATAATTAGCTAATGCTGCAATGAAAATTTGAGTTAATTATAACTTAAGTTGATCAAAATCTATTTTTTTTCCTCAAATTCTCTTATTTTAATAAGCGATTGCTGAATGATATGGTCTTTCTCACGCTTTATTTTTATATGAAATGTGACTTTGTACGCTTTTTTGCTTTACAAATATTAGTTATATTGTGGTTTTATATTCTGCAATTCACCTTTTTTTTTTTTTTCTTGAATATATTATTTGACGTATATTAAAAATTATATGTTTTAAACTTTTAATTGTAATTTTTATACGGTATGTATCTCATAAAAAGAATTTACAGTCTTGGAGTAACAAGGGTAAAATAATCGTGTAAATGTTAATAGTGTGTAGGAAATTTAACTTTAGGATTAGAATTTAATCATAGCAGCCTCAAATAAAAAAATTAAATTATTATTTTTTAAAATAAATAAATAGAATTGTAAGGGTGCGAAGAAAAAGAAAAATAATGAAAAAAAAATTAAAAAAATAGATTACTCATATAAAAAATTTTTTGAGAAACAAAAATAGCGTGCCAGATGGCAGAACTAGAACTTTCTTCCAACTAAGCAAGAGAAGAAAGGAAACTTGTGGCAAGGGTGGCCTGTTGTATAATTTTCTGCTCACCAAACCTATGTATGGCCACTCTTATTCTCCGAAACTCTCCTTTTTCACATCTCCACCATTGCCCTCTCTCCATCCCCAAATCTTTTCCTTCGTTTCCCTTCTCTACCAGCAGAACCAGGCCTCTAAATTCCACTAAGGTAACCGTTAAAGTAAGACAAACTTCCTCTTTTTCTCTTTTGGTTTGTGTTTTCATGCTGAATTTGCTTTTGGCTCTTTGTCTGTGGCTTTGTTAGATGCAAGGAAGTGAAATAACAGAGGAGGTTGCTGAAAGCAGAGAGACAAATGTGAATGAAAAGAAAAAAATATTTGTGGCAGGAGCTTCGGGAAATACTGGGAAAAGGGTTGTTGAGCAGCTTCTTGCAAAGGGTTTTTCTGTCAAGGCTGGGGTTCGTGATTTGGACAAGGCCAAAACTTTGCTTTCAAAGGACAACCCAGCTCTTCAAATTGTTAGTTCCTTTTCCTGGTCTTAAACTGAAAGTTCAATTGGGTGTCTATACTTTTTTTTTTGGATAAATGGTAAATTTTTAATTATCCAAGAACGCAGGGTTTTAACCTGCTACAAAGAATAATGTACAAGAACTAACTAAGACTGTGCAGCAAGTATAAGCATATACAATGTAAATTAAAATTTACTTAGAAATCAAAAAGTCTCCAGTTCTGACAAAGAAAAACATGCTTGTTCTTCGTTGCCTGAGAGAAATTGGGTGTCTATAGATTCTATGTTTAAGATTATTTTGGTGGCGTGTGTTAGAATTGCAAAGAGAAAGTGTACTCTAATTGTTTAATTGGTTTCTGTTGGTTCTGTGCATTATATTAGCGTATTAGGTTTTATTTGGTTTTCAAAATGTGGGTATCTGGTTTTGCAGGTGCAAGCAGATGTCACAGAGGGATCTGCAAAGCTAGCAGAAGCTATTGGTGATGATTCAGAAGCTGTGATATGTGCTACAGGATTTCGGCCTGGATGGGACTTGTTTGCTCCATGGAAGGTCAGATCCTTCTACTCTAGTGAGAGTATATGCTATTCTCTCTCTATCTCTTTTTTTTTTGGATAAGGTTTTTTCATTTCATTTATATTCCAACTTTTTCTATCACGATGTTGATTTAATTTCTGCTAATCTAGAATAACAATGTATTAACAATGTCTATTATGTTTTCGTCATGGGATTCTTGTTTTTTTGAGATTATTTTGGGTTTATGATATGATGTGGTGTGTCGTTTTCAAATGTGGTGGTGCATCTCGATGGTCAGTACATTTTGCTGTCTGCTTTCCGAGAGGTTCAGCAGAGGCATAGCATAGGTTTGGCATTGCCCTTTCCTGGTGCTTTCTTTCTGTTTTCTTTTTCAAATTTTAAGCTTTAAAATGGAGTTGCATAATGATTCTGTCTGACGACAATGGCCTTGTTGTCAATTTTTTGTTTGTTGGTTGTTATGGTAGACAATCATATGTTGATAACATCTGTGATCAACTTGAATAATAACTGTATATACATTTTTCATACTTAATGTACAGAAGTACTCACCTCTTTAGATGTTGATGCCAATTAACCCCTTAGCCTGATTTTCTTCAGCAATTAAGCAGCAGATGCCTGATTTTACTTTTAATTGCAATACCATTTTCCAAGTATAGATTAACCTGGCTCAGTGGAATCGTAACATAGCTATCTACCTTAGAAAAACAGGTGCTCATGCTTATTTCCTAATGATGGTCAGACAATGTGTGAAAATGCTTTGTTGTTGATCATTTATTTGTATTCTGCTAGCATGATCTTGTCTAAGCATGAGTATGCTGTATGCATTTAGAAGACAAAGGATCATTTATTTGTAACGTTGTATTCTGTTGATCATTTTAAGTTGATTTCATGTATATAGAAACTTAGTCAGTGCTTGGTTATGATTCTATCATGTTTTGCCATTTGATTGTCCCCATTAGTCGCGCAACTCGTGTTTCCTCTTTTTTTCATTGAAAGGCTATAAATAATTCATATGCTGTTATTGCTTGATAGTCTTAAAGTTGTATGAATGCAAATTTCGTGCTGTCACCATTCAGCAGTTTTGATTATTTAAGTTTTAGAGTTAATTACACTTTTAGTATCTAAACATTAGGGAAATGTATAAATTGGTACCTAAAAAAATGAAATGTATAATTTGCACTCGGAACTTTTAAATAATGTATCATTTTAATCCAAATTCTAATATTATTAACTTAACTTGTCTATATGGTATCTAACCAATATAATTTTGTTATATGAATGTTATTTATTAAATAAAAGTGTTAAATATTTTGTAAAAATCTTCATGTGGATGTCACGTGACAAAAAATTATTGACCAATCCTAGATAATTTTTACGGTTAAGGTAAAAATATATATTTTAATTTATATTGAAAAAAAGGTATTGATAGTGTGTGTGGTGAACACATAGTTTGATAATATTTGTCAAATGCTGCATATATAAGCTAATACGGTTAATAGAATTAGAGTTTAGGTTAATATGGTACATAATTTGAAAGTTCCAAGTGCAAATTGTATATTATTTGAAAGTTTATGATGCAAATTGGATATTTTATTTCTTTAGGTATCAATTTGTACATTTTCGCAAATTTCGGATGCCAAAATTGTAATTAACTCTAAGTTTCATTATGTCGTGCAGGTTGATAATTTTGGCACAGTAAACCTTGTTGAAGCATGCCGAAAACTTGGCGTGAACAGATTCATTCTTATCAGCTCTATTTTAGTCAATGGAGCAGCAATGGGACAGCTTTTTAATCCAGCTTATGTTTTTCTCAATGTTTTTGGACTCACCCTGATAGCAAAACTTCAGGCTGAACAATACATCAGGAAATCTGGTATTAACTACACAATCATAAGGCCTGGTGGGTTGAGAAATGAGCCGCCGACAGGAAATGTTGTCATGGAGCCAGAGGTAATGATGAATCCCTAGCGATTTCTGTTTTTGTTTTCAGTAGTTTTTCATCTTTGCTCATGTAGGGTAACATTGGCTTTACTTTCTTTCTTTAGGATACCCTTTATGAAGGGACCATATCCAGAGATCAAGTTGCAGAAGTTGCCGTTGAGTCCTTATTCCATCCGGAGTCATCTTTCAAAGTTGTGGAGATTGTTTCTCGCACAGATGCTCCTAATCGTTCTTACAAGGATCTTTTTGGTTCCATAAAGCAAAGATGACATTGATGCTCGCCTTGTGCGGTTATTTGTTTAACTGAATTGCCTCTTGTTTATTGTCTTCATTGTGTCACCCTTGTATATTTACCTTCTTTTTCCTCAGATAATTTGAAAGATCAATATATACCATTATCATGGAAATATTGTTGTGTATTATACTTTTGACAGTGGAGCAAACTTTGCAGGACTAAGATCAGTGCTAATGCTATATCCTGGGATTTACCAATTCCATTTTCAGCAGATTTCCAGATTTGCAATATGTCAAGAAATCTGGTAACATAAAAGTAAAGCAAATACAACGCAGTTGATAAGAAGTAATTAAATTATTCAAAAGAACCATCCAACTACGGAAGCTACGGCAGCAAGTACAGCAGGAACACCCAAAGCTACTCCAGCACCTTCCATTGGGGACGGTGGAATCGCTCCTTGATCTTCCCTCGCAGCTATGGCGCCGGTGGCAAAAACAGCAAGAACAGTGATGTAGGCAATCAAAATCGTCATTTTGCTGCCCTCCATTTCTGATGACCAACTCAGCTAAACAAGCACGATCTTGGGAACAAAGTGAGGGAAGCAATTGAAGTGAGTCTTTTGAGCTTGAATGAAATGGATAGATTTCAAATGCTTTTATGGGGAAAGATTATGCTAATAATCAAGTATTTGCCAGCTATGTTTTGTTGGTTTAATCACGAACAAAATCATTTCAAGGCAGTGTGTTGTCAGCTAATTCTTTTTCTTTTTCCTCTCTCACTCTTTTAAACTCTATTACCAGCCTGGACTGACTATATAACGGCACATTACACATTATTTACAATCATGAAAAGCGAATTGATTTAAATATTTAGTCATTAATTCCATGGAAGTTTTTGCTAATTCCCATCTCCTTGTATCAATATTTTTTTATAAAAGAAACCATAAGTTGAATAAAAAATAAATTACAAATAATAAAATTTAAATCTCAAACTTATTAAATATTATATTTTAAAGTTAAGTTAATACTCTCTTTATCTCAAAATTATTGTCCCTTATTGATTTTTTTGGTCAAACTAACTCAAATTTGATCATTATTTTTAATAAAATAATAAACTTAAAAAAAATTTTTAAAAATAAAATTTGTAAACTTTGAATTTTAAATTTTTTAAAACATATATTTTTTTAAATTTTAATTTGATATTATATTTCAAAAAATAAGATCAAAGTTGAATTACTTTGACTAAAAAAATCAATAAAGAACAATTATTTTGAGAGGGAAAAAATATAAATTAATTAAATTAAATCTTGAATTCGTATTATAGGAAAATTTCCAGCTTTTGGGAGCAGAATACACTTCAGCAGTTAGAAGCAACAGCTGGATAATTTCCCCGTCATTTTTTTCTAATCGAGAACCATATAAAATTTTCTAAGCCTACTTTATATTGGGCCAAAGTCCAAATAGATCAATTTTAGAAACATTTGAGGTCCAAATTATGAAGCGAAAGGCAAGAGTTTGATCTGGTTGAAATAAAATCTCACCAAAAGAATCCACAAAATTTGGGTTTTTTGGGACATAAAACTGGATTGAGAGCCCAACTATGACTAGGATAAATTGGTTTAGAAGGTTTGTTTGCTCAGCAAAACCTTGTTACCAAGAAACTATCTACATTCTACATGATGAACAACAGGTCGGATTGCCGGAAAAAGTTCCAACGTCCGGAAGATCAACTAAGAGAGATCGAAGTTCTCATAATCTCAGCTCAAGACCTCAAGAACGTGAAGCACTTGACCAAAATGAAAGCATACGCGGTTGTCTATGTGGAGAAAGACCACGTGGCGAAAACCCACCTGGACGAGCATGGAGGGACCAACCCCACATGGAACGAAGTGATGAAGGTGAAGTTCCACGCAAAGCTGCCTGAGAACGATGTGTTGGCGGCTCTGAACGTTGACATATACGCGCATGGTCACGTGAGGGAGAAGCCTGTAGGGAGTGCAAGAGTTTTGCTTTGCGATGTCTTGAAAGGAGGGGATAATTCGGAGCCAGTTGATAACCCCATCCAGTGCTTGACGGTGCAGGTCTGGAGGAGTTCGGGTAGGCCTCAGGGGTTGCTTAACTTATGGGTTCCGCCGACAGGGAGGTTCTTGATGAGGAGGGAGTCCTTGTCGCTTAGCATGAAGGAGGTGGAGGAGGAAGAGATGGTTGAAAGAAAGATGGAACTGGCGCTTGGGACCGGGGCGGCGGAAACGAGGGTGAGTAGTGGCAGTGACGGTGGTTGATGTTTTTTGTCATGGATGGTGCATGGAAGACGTGTGTCAAGTTTAGGCTTGTTGTTTAGTAGTACAGTTGTCTTTTATGTTTTTTCCTTCTAGTAAAAAGATTAGTTCCTTGAAAGTTATCTTTCTGTTTGTGGAGATATTCAAAGGTTGAATAATGAATAGTTAAAAGTTAGTGTCATTAACGTTGAGCTTTGGGATCATGGAACATAAGATATGACATTGCTATGTGTAACTTCATTTTTAATGGCCGTAAAAGAAACGGAGTTAGATTTTCTCTCTTTTCCCCCAAAAAATAGCTTGCCATTTTTTACATCGTCAAAAATTTTTATTATCAGATTTTTATATACAATTGTGATATTTTTTAATTTTAATTTTTCATGGGGAAAATGCAATTTTTTTTTTTTTAACTTTTTTCTAGCTTTCGTATGAATTAATTTATTTAATTAGTAATGATAAACAATAAAAAAAGTCCCACAAATGACTCCGTGGCCCAATGGATAAGGCGCTGGTCTACGGAACCAGAGATTCTGGGTTCGATCCCCAGCGGAGTCGTTTATTAAATTAGCTTAAGTTTTTTATACTTTTTTAACAATTTAATGAAAAGAGGCTTTTTCTATACTTTCTGAACACTTTAATGAAAAGGCACTCTCTTAACAATTTAATGAAAAGAGGATTTTCTATACTTTTTTAACACTTTAATGAAAAGAGAAGATGCCTTGATCCCTTGACGGTTACTAAGGCATCCAAGACTCGATGGCCTAATGGTTTAATGAAAAAAGATGGCTCCAAGGCACAATGGTTTAAAGAAAAGAGAAGATGCCTTGAGCCCTTCACAGCTACTAGGCGATACGGCGCCGGTCTCCGGAATCAGAGATTCTGAGTTCGATCCCTTGAGGAGTCGCATCTGTTTCTATTTTCTGTCTAAGGATGAATGAAAACCTCGGATTGATAGTCCTAAAGCATGTTCATTGGCAAAAAACATATTCCATATACTAGCAAAAGGGACTCGTACTGATTTTCCATGCCAATGCTGCAAAACTAGACAGGCAAAAGCTTGAAGTGAATTTTGACAGCGAAGTCTACCTCAACCAAATTGGAAAGATAAACAAGGATGGTGCAACTACAATGGTCATATCTTCGAGAAGAATGATGATAAAACCAGCGAATAATCTTATTCTAATGAGCAAACTAGTGAGATGATTTGTATCTTAAAAATTATTATGTGCAAAAGAGGAAATCAATAGAAGTTAGTAAACAATAAAAAAGGGTCTTTCAGAAAGAGTGCTCAACCAAATTCCATCTTTTTTCATTGCATATAGAAGAAATGACAAAGTCTATCATATGCTTGTGCTCAGAAATAAAGCAGCCACTCATGCTTAGAGCCTGACCCTTGCTAATAAAATAATGCACTGATCCCCTTTCCAGCTCTCCCCAATCAAGTCTGTTCTGTTTTTGATGCAGACTTCAGCTTCTCAAGTTGTTTCCGAAGATAGGCCTGCCTAAGTTTCTCCCGACGAGCAACTGCTTGCTCTTGCCTTCTTAATTTAAGCTCAGACACCTTTTCCCTTGCTTGATTTGCTTCTTCATGAACTTCCCTGTGAATAACCAGCAATTAAATAATTAAGGCCTTTGGTTTTAGTTTCATGACGAAAACATCTATATCAAAATGTTACAAAACATAACCTTGTGAAAGCATAAACTAGCAATCAGAAAACATTTTTAGTTTTAACTTTAAAGTTCAAATTTCCAGTAACTACTTTCAATCTTCAGTACCTTCAGTAAATAATGTCATAGATTACCATATTTATACTGTGGAATCCATGGTCTAGTGACTAGAATATACATTAAGCCACTTCATCAGGCAATTAAGTCATCAAAAATAAGAAAGATGAAAACAGCCAGCCAACTATTGGTTGTAGCAATGAATTAAAAAAAAGGGTATCAACTCTAATTTATAGCACCTTTTCCAAAATTTCGCCAATCATACCTACGGTAAATTTGAACATCATTCTTATTTTATTTTTATACAGTCTTTTAGCTCAAATCCATAAGCACCCCACAATGAATCCCATAAGTGAAATGAAGGCTAATGATGAAAAGGGATGAAACTAAAACATCTTCCTACTAGGAGATTGCTTCATTACACATAAGTGGTTAAATCTCAAGCCCAACCTATCAGTTGCACCTCAAATGAACAAAGCAAAGCCATAAGCAAATATCAAAACTGTCATAAGAGAAAAATACGTCTGAAATTGTAAAATCCATCAAACATTTCACCTAAACTGTCATAAGTCATAACATTAACCAAAAACTAGAAAACTCACCTTACAAAACGCTTATGCTCATCATTGTCTATGATCCCAGCCGTTCTTCCCGGCCCTACAAATTTCATGTTAAACGAAGCAGGACCATCATCACTGTCACCGTCTTCATCTCCAGCTTGTAAATTGTCCGAAGCATGATCAACTTGCGGCCGCTGGGATTCCTCCTGCTCAACACCCTTCCTGAAAAAGTCAACACAATACTTCTCCTTGTCTTCCTCATCCGACAACTCTCCTCTCACTAACTTATCGTATAACTCAGCCTTCTTCTCCAATGCCGCGTAGCTGACTGATCCATCATTAACCGCTTTCAGCTCAAGCTTGTCCCTATAATCAAACACCAAATTGAGAGACCCTAAAAGGAAAATTCTCTAATTTTCGAAATTAGGTTAACAAAGTGATAATAAAAAGAAGGGGAAATAAATATACTTGAGGGCACGAGCGTCGACGCCGGAATTCTTGACGGAGAAGGCATCGTGACGGGCGATCTTTTTCTTGGCGCGGTGGTACTCGATATCGGAACCGTTTAATTCCTTGGATTTCTTGGATTCTTCCTGGGATTTGTAGAGTTGGGCTTTGAGTTCCAGGATGGAGGAGGCACCGACGCCTTCGATGTTGCGGTGTTTCTTGGGCATGATGGAGGATTCCGTCAGCCATCCTAGCGACTCCACCACCACCCTCTTCTTTCTCTCTTCCTCTCCCATTTTTTTTCTACAATTCAGATATCTCTATGTCTCTATGTTCTATGCTATTACCTGAAATCTCTTTGGATTACAAAACGAAATGATTTGTATAAGGAAGAAAATTTCTGCTGCAATTGGTAAAGTTGCCTACTTCAAAAATCAAAATCCCCAAAGTTGTAAAGAAATCGAATTGTCCACCCAAGAATAATCCCGGGTCGGGTGGTTTATAATTTCAGTAGAAAACACCGACGCGTGAATGGCACGCAGGTTTATAGAATTCGTACGCGGTGAATCCCTCCCAGATTTTTTTTCTTGCCTATACATTTTTAAAATTCTATTTTGACCCCAACTATTTATTCTCCTACCCTTCATTTTTCTTTTTTTTTTAAAGTAACCCTCTTCAAAGTGAAGAACAAGCAACATAAATTTAACTCAATTTGAAAGGATGAAATACCGCAGATGCAGTATATAATATTCAGATATGCATCAGATTTCACTTAACAAATAGATATTTAATTAATATTTGATATATGCTCAGTGTAAAATTTTAATTACACAAATAAAATTAAAAAAACGACATATATCACATTTTTTAAATTTTTTTAAAAATATACATAACAATACATATCACCCTTTTAACACCGCATGTATAATCAAAATTTTACACTCACAATATATCAAATATTAAATCATAGATATTGCACTCATTTTGTGCTTCCGTGAATAAAAACAGTGAAACAGTAGAACCCCAAGATTTTCAGTTTGGAGACCAGGGAACTGGGAAGTTTGCAGTGACAAAGAAAGAACTTGATTAGACTATGCATAATTTGAAAAATGACTCCAAGAGGAATAATTAGATGAGAACAATTTGTTTTAATATGCAATAATTTTGTGGGGCTATTTGATTATAAGAAACATTAAACTGTAATTTATACGAGAGTGAAATGACAATCGCATACCATAGCAACTTTTACATGTAAACAAAATAAGATGTTGAAACCCAAACAAACCAAGTTCAACCTGTCTGATAGCCTAGGCGTCTCAAATGAAAACAATATCCGATCAGCAAACTGATAGACGTTCAGTAACAAAAATTTCAGAACAAGAACCACCTTTAACTCTCTCCTCTATTAAATTAGAGAAATTACATAAACAAGTTGGGCCTTGATGCCTTGTAGGTTGTCTTCAGCTTCCTGGTAGGTGGCCTCACCTTCTTGAACACCAATGGGAACTTGATTTTGGAGTTGTGGAACTGCTTGGTGCTGTCCCTCTTGCATAGCTTAGCTGGGATGGTCGCAGTCTTGATAATCTGAATGCAGGGGAACCTGACTCTGTGGCGAGAAGCCATCTCGTTGTACATCTGTTCAACAGCTCCATTCAGAGTAGTGTCACGGTATTCCTTGTACATATTGTGATAGCCAGTACGGCTTTGATAGCGAAGCCAAATACCATAATTCTTGATCTTGGTTGGATTCTTCTCAAAAATCTGCAGAGAATTTAATTTAGACAAAGTGAATTGAAAAGAAAATCAAAGAATATATCAGAAATCAAATTCCTTTTGGTGTATCATATAATCAATATGCAATCACTATTAAATTTTTATTTTTAGAAGTAGAAGCCACCATACAGATAGTAAATGAATTGTGATCAACAAGCAAAGAAAAGTGCCACTAGATGACAACAAGGTTACAATTGACAGCATATTGTTATCAAAGATTTCAAAGCAATTTAGGGTCCATGAACTGCTTTTGAGTTCAAAATCTTAAATAAGTAGTCCCAAAAAAAAAAAAATGTGACCAAATCAATTATTCAATGCAATAGCAATCACAAAACAGGGATGAACATGCTATCAAAAGTGCTTTTCTATCAAAGACCAGAAATTTGATATTCAAGATGTATGAAATCCTTGAAGTGCAAACACAACCGGCATGAAAGCTTTAAGATTTAGGTGTTTCTTTCCTATCTAATTTCAGCCTCAGGACAAATTTAAAGACTGTAGCTGATAAAACACAAATTCCCATCCAAATTGCACAGACAAAATCTAAACTTTGGCGAGTTAAACTAAATAGTTTCAGTCACTAATCAACAAAAGCCTAGCTCTAACAAGAATATTTAAACATACAACCAAAAGGACACTTCTCCTATTCACATTTCAACATATCATCCCATAATAAATTGCTTCATACAGAGTGAACCATCATATGGAAAACACTACGCACATACCTCATTGATGGCAAGGACTTGACCATTGCTCTTCTTAACCTTCTTCAGCTTCCTCAAGAAGTACCTGATGAATATTCAAGGACAAACACAAAAGTCAGAAACCCTCAACAACTTCAATCAAAAGGGAATTAAATTAAAGGCCCAAAAATTCAAAGATAGCAATGAAAATAATCACTAACCAGAACTTGGACTTGGCCCGAACCTCATTGGTGGCCCAAAGCTTCATCCTGTAAATCTTGGGGTGCTCATCGTTCTCCGTTGGGAGAGCCCTCCCAACAACCTGGTACTGGTGAAACTGCAACCATAAACAAAACCAATATCAAAATTTTTTTTTTCTGATATTAGTTCAATCACAGTTCAAAGCATTGCTGCTCCCTATGGTTGCTACGACGATTCATAAATCGTAGAACTTTGAAGTTACAAAATGGAAATCGAGAGGGTAGCTGGGGAGATCTGAGAAAAGAGAAACGTTGACAACTTACCCTGAAATTAACCATTTCTGAGGAAAGAGAATATCTGAAGACTTTCTCGGCCCTCTCTCCCACTCGTCCGCTCAATGTAGGAGAAGAGTAAAGTAGGGCTTTCTTTCGCTTATATAGTACTAGCTCTTTCTACAGGTCAAAACCCTAGGGCGGTTCGGTTAATATGCACCCCGGGTCGAGGAAAACTCTATATCTCAGCCCAAAATTAGATGATTAAGCTTTGGTTCTTATATTGATGTAAGCCCAATGGTGAATTGTTTTTTTCATTTTGGCCCAAAATCAAGTTAATAATAGATAGTTTTTGGCCCAAAATCAATATAATTTTAACTCAATAATGTAATGGTATTCATTTTGATACATTACCAAATAAAATTTTTTAATTTTACAAGCGGAATTCAATAATTCATTAAGTTGGCTTTAATGTATAAAGCAAGAGTTCTTAACAAATTTTTGCAAATTACAAAAAGCAATAGTTCTAGGATTTTTCACGAACATACTGGTACAGCTTCCATATATAGTCCATGCTTACAGTACCAGGCATGAGCTCGCTTTGTCACTCACACCAAAGGTAACAGCAATCATAGTGATATCGGACTGTACAATTAGATTGGAGAGCACCAGAAAGGAACAATGAAGACATTGATCCTCGCTTCTCGCAAAATGAAGAAGCATCTACTATCATATTTCCAAAAGAATAAAACAGAAATGAGCAGTCGAGATTCGTGATGCATGCACAAACCAGTGAAAATATGTATCAAATATTAACATGTAGAAATTAGTACTCGGTTTCAAAGGGTAGTGAGCACATCAAGGGGCAGACAAGTGGTTTGGGTGGGAGGGTCACGGTGCACATGCCGTACCAAGTGTCAGCATCTATTAAAGAGGTGTCCGACGCAACAAGGTGCACCAAGTGCTGGTATCTGCCAAATTAGTACTGGGTTTCAAAGGGTAGTGAGCACATCAATCATAGATTCCATTGCCTCAACAAGTAAAAGTGTAAACAACATTATGTACGTCAGTAGGACTGCTGGTAATTGAATTTTTGAAAAGCCAAGCTTAACAGATGAAAACCTTCTTACACATGTTATGAAACATACAAAACTACAGATTCCCGGAAACAACAAATTTACATCATTGAGCGATTAGCCATGAAAAAACATGATGTTGAAAAATCTTTTCGACAAAAAAAAAAAAGACAAAAGAGACAAACAAGACACTGAAGCACAAGGGTCTTGTCTAGACGAGACAACAAAGCAGCCAAAAGGAAAGCTGTGTAGATATTAGTACTATGTCAGTGTTCATAGATGACAATGAACAACTTGTGGAACGCCAGTACCATAACAGGCAAATCCCTTCTTTCCTAAGTATTTGATTGAACTTAAGAGTTTTAAGCAACGTGACACAAATATCGCATTTGTTCAATCATTACATTGATTTCGAAGCCACAATTAAGGATATAAAATTATTTAATCCTGGTGTAGGATCATGAAAGTGACAGAGATCTTTTTATTGGGGGAGGACGATGAACTGCTAGTTCTACGTTTCTTGTGGTATAAAAGCATCGGATTCTAGGAAATCTATGGGTTAACTTTGCTTTAATCCAAAGAAAAATCTGGAAATGCAACTTAATCCATTCTCATTTCTCAAAGCAAAACTCACAAAGAAAGAAAGAAAAAAAATGCTATTGTAACAGCACTAATGCACCGATCTCATCAGAAAGAAGATACCATACAATAGAAACTTGGGATATTTTTGCCTCTAATAGCAATTACCATGCCTTAAAATGAAAACCTTGCACATATATAGAACGCATAACATGACCATTATAACAAAGTTATCCAACTCTAAACCAAAACCAGAAGGTACGCCCAAAAAGCAAGTCCAAGCCCTAATAATGCCCGGACCTCATTTCTACTGGACCCTGAAAACCACACCCGAACATCGTCCACCACCGGACCACACAGTGAGCTCATGTCATCGGTTCTTGTATTATAATACACACTGTAGAAGGCGATACGTGTTCTCTCGGCCTTGGCTGTGAAGTTGACACTAGCAACTTGGAAGGTGGAGTTAGAGTCAGGCGTGTAGTGAAAATTTTGAGCCTGATCTCCTGCCAAGGCCATAACAGCTAGTGGTTCCTTGCATTTGTCCCTAGCATGGCCCAAAGAAAAGGTCAAGCTGTATAGTTTGTCTGGTGTGGTTTCGACCATTTGAGAAATGATGCCTTCCTTGCCTGAGACTAACTCCACGGCACGTTTGCCTTCTGGGACTGCATAATGGTTGGAGTCAATGTATCGAACCGCCCTGATTGATTCGACCATCCATCCTGGTACCGGTGATGTCTCTTCGTCAAGGTTGGTTGGAAGCAGGACACCAAGAGATACATTTTGGAACATCCAAGGGCCAAACTCAAAGCCACTGTTAACTACTGCATTGTCTGAAGAAAACACAGCAGCAAAGAGAACCCAATCAACGACATGAAAAAAACATTCCTCAGACCATTCATTCTGGTTCTTCGAGACATAGAAAATACAAAGCAAATGGCGTTTCCCATAGCACACTAGTGCGAGGATTATAAATTTAACATATGTTCTTGAACCCAAACCCCGCTACCTTGAAAAAATTGCTGAAATATCATTGTTGGGATTTGTCAATGTAGTCCAAGCAAGAATTGTGTTTAATGAACAATCAATCATGAAAAGGATCTCCAAACTTTCATTTTTCCCAACACATGCATCAAATGTACAGTAAGAAAAAGTACACAAGATTAAACATATGCGTGTAGAACAGTGTGACCACATTTAATTGGACATCTCGAATATGAGCAACGTATACCTACTTTCTAGCAACCACCACGTGACAAAGACGAAAGGAAAATAGGCTTTAATTTCACAAATGTCTACCATTGGGTATAGCTTTAATTTATTGATGATCCCTTATTCGCACAAAAGTTGGTAGCCGCGTTGACAGCAGTCTTATTATTTCAATGCAGCTGTCTGGTAGAACCAAGTTTCCTAAGGACTACTATGCTACTGCTATGTAATGGCCTGACCTAACCCTATTCATCATTTTTTTGTTTTGCATTTTGCTCCTATTCCTATTCAGGGGAGCTGTATACCTTGGCTCATCTACTTCTAGCTAAGAAAGAAAACCAGGACAATTCCAAGCTGATAGAATTTTCCGGGGTTGGATCCACCATTTTCGTGTCCAGGAATGGGATCCAGATCTCCCTTCAAACTGAGAACTTAGGCTAATATCCCCTACTTTTTTTCTACCATTTTCATTGTCCAATGACCTTTGAATTTCTCGTTACCTCACTTAGACAAACAATGGACCCCAACCCAAGCCGACAATTTTGAGACTAACCCCTCCATACGATAAGTATAAGATTCACATGTCTAATGGACCCACAGAAATCACGCATGCCCAGAGGTAAAACGTGAATGGAAATGAAAAATAAACAAAAGTCAAGATTAAAAAGAAAAAAGAAAAAAAAGAAAAGGAAATTTGTTGGTTTTTTTTTTCTTTTTTACCTTTGAGTTTGTCAGGAGTAACAAGATTTTTTATGGCAATATCATCAATAATGGGGCCACATTCTGGGTCATCTTCCATGCCCGGGTTCCTAAAAATCAACCGCACTTTATCCTCCTCCGCCTCGAAAGAAATCGAGTAGGGGTCCCATCCTTGCACATTGTACAATGTCTGGAGGTCTACCATATGCGATGCAGGTGGCACGGACACGTTCAATGATTCCAGCTGAGCGCACGTGCGGGCCGCACTGAAAGTAACTGCGTACGTGGACCCTTTCTCAACCGTCAGTTCCTGGCTGATCTCCGCGTCGTTGCCCAATCTAACGGCGTGCCTCCCTCGGGGCACGATGAGGATCATCCCGCCGCTAACTTTTTCCCCGGACGATACCAGCTCCACCTTGCCGTTGGTTCTCCAGCTGGGGACCTCGGCGTGCCCATCCGATATTGCCTCGCTTGGTAAGCCATTAGACGGTAGAGTCTCGAAATCTCCATTTGCTACCAGTCCTACAAAATAATTGCGACATTGGGAAAATCAAATCTAATTGTACCGGCAAAAATAGATGTAACCTTTTTTTTCGTTTAACATTAGTTGAATTCTTTTCACATGTTTTTAGTATTTATTGCACAAATATGAAAAAAATTTGCTCCCATGAATTATTACTACCAAGGCAAGCGTGCCTAGCCGTACATGTGCGCATTCGGTTGACAACAAAAATAAATTCATAAAATAAGTACAGCACATTAGCAGATATACTTCATTGTCACCAAAAGTGTTTTGATGGTTAGTAGACCCTTGTTGGCCCATAAAGATCTTGCCATATCTAAATTGAAAAATAAAAAATAATATACAAAAAAAATTATTTCATTGTATTTTAAAATTTGATTTAACTGACGTATATAATGATCCTTAAAAGTAATAATTAATATATTTATTGATAGATAAAATTAATAATTTAAAATATAATATAATGACATCATAAATTTAATATGAATAAAAATATAAATATAATGTGATTTAAATTTTAATTATAATTATGAATGAATTTAATAAAATTAAAAATATATTTTATATTTTATATGATAAAAACTATAAAACATAATTTTAGTATAAAAAACAAAACATATAAATGATTTTTAATATTTTACCTAGCATAAATACATCAATCACCAAATCTACCTCCTAACACATGATCTATTTGTATAATATTAAACTTTTAATTTCAATAATTAATATTCAAATTTTGATAACACAATTATCAAAAATAAAATATTAAACAAATTTAAATTTTAAATCTTAATATTTATATCCATTTCTTTTATTTCTAAGCTTCAATTTCTTTCATATATAAAAAATTATGTCATTCATCAATAATAGAATTTTTAATTTACACACCCATATATATATATTTGTGTATGATACACGAAGACGTGGGTATAACATATACTGCTAATATATTAGTACTCAATTAAAAATGAAATCCTAGGGTTATTTAAAACGTGTAGCTGAATCTACATTTACGCAATGTAAGGCAACCAAAAAGCTAATAGGAAGAGAACAAGTCCTTGGATAAGCTTATCTTTGTTGCTCAGTCTCAAAGTGGGAGGAGAGTTCATGCCCTGATAAAACGACGAAATTTCGTCACGAAAAAAAAAAAAATGAAGAGAGTAATACCGCTGCCAACAAACTCGCAAGGAACAAGCTGCAAACAAAATCAAAGCTATCGTTTCCGAATAGGGACAAAAAATAGGTGTTGATATGAGAAGGCCGTGAGACTGGTCCCACCCAACTTGAACTATAGGCCTGAGGTAACCGTGTGGGCCCTACCCATCATTTCAGCCCTTCATTTTGTCACCTCTATTCCTCTCTACTTTGATCAATCAAACTAAAGTTAATAAAAAATGGTAGAAATGTGTGCCCTTTTTTTTGGGTTTTGGCCAAGTGAAGTGTGTCTTCGCTGTGACTGTGAATCTTTGATGGGATGAGCTGGAAATTTGGGTGATGCACTACGAAGACAAGGATTTGCGGAAAGAACCCTTGTCGTTTTTTAAAATTAAGATAAAAAAGAATAGATATTTGGCGGGAATATGACCCTTTTTGATCATTTCACTCACCTTAAAATAAGGGGAAAAAGAAACCTTAAAGACCCATTTGTCAAACTCCTTATTCTCTTCTATTCTACTATCTTACAGTCTTATACCCATCAACACCTCTCACTTTTTGACATTGCCAAGATCCTTTTTCTCTTTCTTTAATTTCCTCTGATGCCCTTGTCAATCTTTAAAAAAATCTAAAAATAAATAAGTGGCTCGATTTTTTAATTAAATAAAATATATCATATTCAATAATTTAAAAAATAATAACGATAAGATGTACGTTTGATATGATCCTAACAGTTCATACCAATGTTCGAATGAACCTATCAGTTCTAATGTGGTTAGGTGGCACTAATAACTTCCAAGCCATCCAGCTTGGGCTTAAACTTTAGCTAGTAGCAGTCACTACTTTGGCATGGGTAAATACTATAGCTTTCGCCCAATTGACCACCTATGGCTCGTGCAAAATGTTAGAACCCCACAAGGTCGACTGATAATGTAGGCGACAATGACTGGGAAACGAATTCATCTACTCCATCGAATTAATTGCGGTGATGTCTTTCTATTTAAAGCTTCCTCACTTTTAAAAAATTGATGGAATCTTCTAAGAAATAATAAGCATTTTAGAGTAGTAGCATGCTTCCATGCTTAGTGGGAAACGGTTTCCAGGAATCACTCAAATTATTGTGGGACAGTGGCAAAAAGCCTGTTTGAAATTGTGAACAGTCACTCACTGGATCATTTCACACTTTGAATTTAGAAAAGAAAAAGAAAGAAAAGATCTAAGTCCTTTTGACACATTTAAGGCCCACGTTTAGACTTCTAAAATAAAAATCAAATCAACTTGAGTTGTGCAAAGTTATTAAGGGACAAAACCCCTATAGTGGCTCCATTGGAGCATAACTAAAGCTCACTCTTTACTGAAAGTAGACAAGTTCTGGCGGTGATTTAATGGCTTTATCGAAGAAAATAAAAAGTAATCGAAGAAGAAGATTTGCAGGAAACTGAATGGAATCGTCACTGAAATATATGGCATTAAAAATGTAGTCTGGTAGTATAAAAATCGTGAGCCTATTAATTGCTATTTCGAGGAATGACAAAGAATGGAAGAACTAAACATGTAAAGCATTTCTTCAAAAAAAAAAAAAAAACCAGTTAAGTAAACTCTAATGCAACTTGTAATAATAACCGTTATGTCAAAAACATAAAAGCGGAATAACCATCCAAATCTCCTACATCATATAACAGTTTTACCAAAGTAAATGTAGCTAATGTTATGAAAAGATCTCAGAACATAACAAAAACCCATGATCCAGAAGCAATGTAAGAACTCGAAAAGATTGAAGAAAGAGAAATGAAGTTTTTGTAAGTAGCTAAGTTTGACAAAGAAAGAACAGAGAAAATAATATATGCAGATGGAGAATGGAGGAAAGAGATAGTACATACCATCTTCAGCTAGTGTTATAGTGGAGAAATGAGCGAAGATAAGCATAACAAGGAAGACCCATTTGCTTCTTGCGGAGCTCTCAGCCATCTTCTTGGCCTAGTATCCTTCTTTCTCTTCTTTGACAAAGGCTTGCAGTCTCTCTCTCTCTCTCTCTCTTTTTGGCGTTGCCTCTTTTTTTTTCTTTGCTTACTCTGTTTTGATGAGTGAGGGCAGGTAGGCAGGCCAGGCAATGTCCTTTTATCTTAAGATTCCAGTACTATATCGTCTTTTGTACTATCTTTTCGAGTTAAGCACTTAAAGTGTTTGAGCGTGATTAACTTGACAGAAAGGGGAATTTTTTTCTAATATTTTGATTTGAAGAATAAAAGAAAAAGGTTCACCTTGTGTGCTGCTTATTTCCACCAGCCACCACCAATAATATAGAGTTTAATTCGGTGTGTTTGAGTAAGGATGAGAAAAAAATTTAAAAATTAAAAATAAATTTGAAATTTTAATGTTTGATTTGGTTTGAATTAATTTTTTATTTGATTTAAATATTAAATTTAAATTAAATTTTGGATTAAAATGTAAAAAAATTTTAAAAAATAAAATCGAGTTGAATTTTATATTTTTATTAATTTATATATTTTTTAAATTTTTATAAAATAAAAATAATTATTTTATGTATAAATTTATTTAAATATATTAAAAATTTTATTAAAATAATCTATAAAAATCAAAGAATTAAATTAAAAAAAAAGTTTGATTTCAAGATTTAAATCCAACGGACACTATTTTTGTTAGGTGGGATCAAAGTTTTGTTTGAAGAAGCTAATATTGGTAGCCAGAGTATTTTAATTATAATTTTATAATTAGTTAATCATAATAAATATTATATAAGAATTCACTGCTTAAAAATATAAGTTATATATATATTTTATAAATTTTATATAATATTAAATTATAAATAATTAATTATATTATGATAATTATAAATGATATGTTTCGTTGTTAGCATACAATCTAGCTTTTTTGTTTTGTATTAGTTTTCAGATACTCTTGCATTGCAGTATCAAGGGAAAATGCATGACACAGAAACTGAAGCGTTGAGGCTTTAATCAAGTAATTATATCTTCAATGCGTACCATATATAGAAGTGTGAAGGGGGTAGGGACCCGTTTGACATCTCCAAATCTTAAGCGGGGCCTTGGAAAGGAATAGGCTAATTTACAAGTCAAAGTCGTAGGTCGGGTTTGGCAAGGAGCTGGTGAACAGGTCTGACATATGCTCGTATTTGAGTTCATATTAAGTTTACAGAAGACCAAATCACTTCAAGCTTTCGGCGCAGGACGTTAAATTGCCTAATCCAAAGTCTGGCCCAAGTAATTATAAAGAACAGGCCTTTCAAAAAAAAAATAGCTACACAGGCATAGAGAGCCGGGCAGATGAAAGCTTAGCAGCACTTTCCACTTTTGGTTTAGTAATTAAGAGGCTTTGAAAAAACCATGTAGGCGTAAATTCTAATCTCGTTTTTTTTTTTTTTTCGTTCCTCCTTTGAATTAAAAAAAATAAAGGCCTCGAAAACAAAGCTAAGGATCTTAGCAAACTCCAAAAAGGCATGCCAAACACAACCAAACCCATGTTTAGCGTCTCATTTATTCACTATTTGCATTCAAAATTTTCGATTGAGAAACCCTAAAGTTCTCCTTATGTAGTATTTTTTAAGAACCATCAAGTCAGGAAGTAGACTATCCAGCTAGGAGAGAAGGAGCTACGATTACTTTTAATTTCAAACATTACTAGAATTATGAAGAACTAATGCTGAACAAAGATCAATCCCTTTAACATTGCGATTAGCAAGTAAAAGCAATTGTCATTGAAATGGAGAATTTTCATATATAGAGCCTATTTTGCATTAATGCACTTTAATGATTGCATGAACTAATAACAAATGATTTTCAAGATTGATTAAGTTGGTCGATCAGTAAGTGTTTTAGATGACATTTTCTTTTTCTTATCTTTTTCCCTGAATTTTTAAATAACATCTTTATCCTCGGGTTGGTTGATAGTTAACTCCACTTGTGTGCTTATTTACATAAATCTTAGCATATCAATTAAAATGCAGTAAAGAGGAAATGACATACATACATACATATATATATATATATATTACAAAGAAAATCAAAATTGATAAGAAAGAATTTGCAAGTGTTAAAAAATTTAATTACAGCTTGAGAAAATTTACTTTTCAAGAAAGATGAACAAACTATTTAAGTTAAATTCAAACTCGATATAAGCTTTTTATGTATGGATAATTGTTAATATGTTGGATTTTATACATTCTTTGAAATAGAAATTCAAATTGACAAAGAGCTAGAAAGAAATCTAATTAATTGCTTCTCATTTACATCAACACCAAGATATGTTACATCACCCCTCTTAGTACTTCTAGTGCTTTTAAATAGCATATTTTTAGACGGTAATCGTCTTTGCTTGGTGGAAATATATTCTAATATTGAAGCCGTAAAGAATTTGATAAACCAAAGGAATGTGTAGTTTATTCTTTTCGGGTCAGTTTCATATGGTCCTTGATTCGACTAATCTATCCCTAAAACCAAAGAACATAGTCAGACTCGAACAATGAAACCATTAATTTCCCAAGACTAGAATCTGACTATGTTCTTCTTTCCATTGTTAGCAGTACTTTGATTTCGTTTCAAAGTCTATAACCAGCTGGTCATCATTGTTTGAGTTATTTGTTAGAATTCAACAATGATTATAGATTCTAATGAGAAACACGATTCCATCTATTGTTGTTTGGATTCAAATTTGCTTATGATTCAACAAAAAATAATTTAGAGTATTCAATTTCATTGATCAAATGAAAAGATCACACCACACGATGATTAAAATATGACCTTAATCACATATAAAAAGTTTATATCAAATTTCCCTCTCCTGATGAGAAAAACTTCCATGAAATTTTATAAGTAAAATTCATAAAATTTTTATTAAAAATGAATAAATAAAAATTAAAATCGAAAATCAAAATTGATAAATTAAAAAATTTTATCACATAGATCAAATGTATAAAATTTTAAAAAAAATTAATAAATTTTGATATATTTATTAAATAGATATTTTTAATAAAAATATTACTAAAATTTTTACTGTTGAATAAATATTAATTAAATTTAAATTATAAATATTTTTTTAATAATTTTTTTACATATTACTAATTTTCATATTAAACTCTATTAATCTATCAATTTATTTCACGTGAGTTTTATCCTCTAATGAAGGGCCACATGTTAGACAGATTTTTATAAGGTTTGGATAATTTAATACTTGGATCATTGTTAAATACAGGACCACTGCTTTAATCTTTCCCCGTGGCCTTCCTTTGATCACAAGAACTTTCTTTCTTTCCTTCTTTTCACTCTCACTTAAAATTTTCGTTTTTAAGTTGTTTTCAAAGGTAAGATTGATTGTAAGACTAATAATAATCATGTAATTGAGGCATACAACTACTTAAAGATGAAGTGACAAAGCAGTTTGAAATTGGTACTTTTAGTAGTCACATGAAGTTTGGTGTTGCTGTTGGAAAGCAATTAGGTTTATATCGTCAGTCCATGAACCAGATTGGGTGGTATTTTTTTATCATTAATTTTCCAAACAAAATTATATAATACATTACTCCACATCAATATATGTTCATATAATTTAAATTATATCACGTAATCACATTATTAAAAAAAATAATCATTTATTACACATTCAATGCATAAATTTATTAAAAAAATATTTAATGACATCAAATATGAGGTGTCATAAATGATTAACCTTTTTAAATAATGTGTTATAAATATTTATTTCAATAGAATCATTCATGTGATATGTAATAAATAATTAATTTTTTTCAATAATGTGATTACATGACATTATTTAAATAAAATATATATATGAAATAATACGATCCTTTCTCGTAGTTTTTTTTTTTTTAATTTTATGGGATTTTCTCAAAAGATATTAATTAATTAATTTCCTGTTACTGGCCAAATACTTTTAAGCAAAACAGAGGAACACTCGACTGTCCATTTGTTATCTTTATGACCAACTTATTCTTTTTCTAATTTATTTTTAAACATTTTAATTGTAATGTAAATGATGTTTATCTATAAGCTGTCTTCATGAATTTTTTTTTGTTGTTTTTAACACTTTGATTTGTACCCTAACTTCCACCACAAATCTCTAATCTTTGTTTTGTCCTATATCGTGTGATATGTATTTGACGGGAAACTAGATAAATTTCTATCCTTTTTCGAATCTCTTGTCATTTTTTGTCCTATATATGTTTTTCCCCCTCTTATGAAAGAAAAAAAAAAAAACAAAGACTATTACCTTTTCATGACTCGACACCTTTTCTCCAAGTGGCTGCTTAATCATCCACGTCATCCAAGTCTCCCAGAGTAATAGGATTTTTCTCACGAGGTTCATGGGGTTGCCCCTACCAAACTCAACTCGATTCGAGAGCAGATAGCGGAACAAAGCAAAAGCAAATGGAAAGCAAAGTCTGGACTCAAAAACAGAAAAGAGAAAAACAGTTGAACTAACAAAAAATATCCCATTGACCATTGCTTTGATTAATCGTTAAACCCCAACTCACGTGCCATAAACAGTGCAAAATTCTACTTTATTTATATTCGCCTTTATCACTTACAATTTCTAATAGATTTTCAGATATTAATAAGTTTGCCTTTTGCTTAAATCACCCCAAGATATTTATTTAGCAAAATGCACTTAAGTTAGAGACAGACCTTGTCAGCCATGTGTCATCCATGGTTGATTTTGAACTCATCAAACATTATCTATTATCCAACGTCCAACACGCAGTAAAGAGAATTGTTCATGCATTTTTATTTTTGCAATGTAAATGGATTGAAGAAAGAATAGAACAGTAAAACTTGCAAGAGGGTCAGTAGCACTAACCTCTATTTGGAAACCCAAAAGAAGAGGGAGGTGCAAACGACGTCGGTTTAGTTCCCTCTCCAATTCTGCGAAAGTGGGCTTTAATTAGTTCGTTGGATCTGCCAGTTCCTTGACCATAAAGAGAGAATCTTTCTTTCACCACTTTTCGGCTCTGCTTTTCTTTTAAGCCTAACAAAAGTTTGACACTTCTTCCGTAGTTGACTTGCGTCAAATGCAATCATTAAGGACGGTCACGCAAAAATGAATCCGAGAAGTAGGCAGAAAATTCTTTTATTTGATAAATATCAGAATTTAGATAGAAGAAGCAAAGATGCAAATTATCATCAAATGATCAAACACAGAAAAAAAAAATAAAGAGGTCGGCAAAAAAATTTAGATAATGATAATGCGTTGGCTGAAGCTGGAGAGAAAAAAGGGTCAAAGCATATAAGAGAGAGAGCGGAAGGGGGTGGGGAAGTTGGATTATATGGCGGGAATGCATTTTCAAGCTTAAGGTTATGATTGCGTGAAAAAAATAAACTTCAGCTTTTACTAGGAAGGAGAAGTGGGGATGGTATTGAAATCGGATTTTTTTTGGAGATGTTTAGCAAAAATAGTGTCATACCTGTAAGCAAAGATTTGATTGGAACACGTAGCATCCATAAATGAAAACATCCTCCACCATTCTTCTACGGCAGTCTGGTCATTCTCTGGATTGTAAAGTGAACACCAAAACAATTTTCACTAAAATCCGTCCTGGCAAAAAAGCCTTGTCTATATATTATACGCACCTTCACATTATTTGCTGAGCTCCCATTACCGCCAGCTGCACCATTTCACCAGCAGAAGCACCATTACTGTTGCCATTACCTTCATTCATTCGCATCTCTCTCTCTCTCTCTCTCTCACTCTCTTTCTCTCCTATCATTTTCTTTCCCTCCGAATTTTCATCGCTGCAAATGGCAACTGCATTGCTGCACTCCCATGTCTCCCACTTACAGTGCTTTCCATTTTTGCAGTCATTCTCCTTCGTCTTGACATGCTTTTCTTGATCCTTGTTTATTATTCTTGTCCAAACAAGATGCAAAATCTGCCTCAGCCTTTTCTCACTTTCACTTCCACTCATATTGATGTATCAGTTGCTCAAGCTTGTACATTCATTTCAAACATATCAGGAGCAAATTGACATTAAGGTTATAAAAAGGAAACTAAACCCGTGTCCCTCTTCACAGGTTCGCTATATATAACCATTTCTTTGACACTTAACCCAGCCGGAAGTTTAACAACCTCTATTGTAGGTGTAGCCTCCAGGATTCAAACAACTAAGATGTCATTTTCCTGTACCAAAAACTTCTTCCAACGGTTCTGTATTGATAAATTTCAAATGGTCAGTGCCATTCATGGCAGTTTCTTCTCAAGTGATCTCCTTCCATCACTTGGGGCCAGAATTAACCAGGAGACCAAGATACATAGATACATAATTTCCCCTTTCAACCCTAATTATAGGTGATGACCATGGCAATGGTTTACTCAAATACTTCTTTCAATTTATCAAAACTTCTCCTTATGTCCTATTCCTTATTACAGGGCCTGGGAGATGTGGCTGGTTGTTCTAGTCATTTACTCTGCCTGGATCTGTCCATTCGAGTTTGCATTCCTAACTTACAAGCAAGATGCAGTTTTCATTGTTGACAACATTGTCAATGGCTTTTTTGCCATCGACATCATTCTTACCTTCTTTGTTGCATATCTCGATAGCCAATCTTATCTCCTTGTTGATGATCCCAAGAAGATTGCCATCAGGTAAATAAGATTTTGCAGCATTTGATCACAAAGGCCTTTTCAACTATTTTATATACTATTCGAGCAACAGTTAATGAGCTTTCTTCATATGATCCATCCAACATCTAGGTACATATCTACCTGGCTTGCCTTTGATGTCTGTTCCACTGCTCCATTTCAGTCCCTCAGCCCCATGTTCACAGATCATGGCAGTGAACTTGGGCTCAGGCTACTCAACATGCTCAGGCTCTGGCGCCTGAGACGAGTCAGCTCCCTGTTTGCAAGGTTTATAATCAGATTCAAACCCATGCCTTTTCTTTTCTTCAAAATTCTTAGACTGTTACAATGGGAGAACCACGATATTTACTTACAGGTTTGCCTTCCTTCAGACTAGAGAAAGACATCCGGTTCAACTACTTCTGGACTCGATGCACCAAGCTCATTTCTGTAAGCCATTGAAACTTCCTCTTGTCTCACTTCTATCAGAAATACTGCCTCAGTATTTGAAAAATGGATAATTTTCCTCTCGGATTGGTTTCAGGTGACCCTTTTTGCAGTACATTGTGCTGGATGCTTTAACTATCTGATCGCAGATAGATACCCTGATCCTTCAAGAACCTGGATTGGTGCAGTATACCCAAATTTCAAAGAGCACAGTGTCTGGGATAGATATATAACTTCAATTTACTGGTCCATTACAACACTCACTACAACTGGTTATGGGGACTTGCATGCTGAGAATCCAAGAGAGATGCTATTTGATATCTTTTACATGTTGTTTAATTTGGGATTAACAGCTTACCTCATCGGGAACATGACAAACCTGGTAGTTCACTGGACAAGCCGGACCCGTAATTTTGTAAGTTCCCTTACGGCTTTCAAGCTGTTTGAAATCATCATTAACTGCCAGGAGAACTAAACATAGAAAATAAGTTCTACATGGACCAAAAAGAATTACCCATCACAATCAACAGTTCTAGCATAACCCCACAATTGTTGCAGAAAAAGTTCATTTTTGTAAGACATTGTATCTACCCCACAATTTGACAATTTTGTATGAAAAATTTCTAGGTAAAAACCAGCTTAAAGGTAATGTCAAGATTCCTTGCCATTGTATGACATCAAAAATCATATATGAATGCTCAGTCTTTTGCAGTAGCTGATTTGAGCATTACATTCTTCCAGCCCCTTCTTCAGATTTAACAGTATTTTCATTTGACAAGAATGTCATCTCTAGCCTGGGAGTGCTAATGACAAGAAACATTTACCTTTTTGGTGCTACAGAGGGATATAGTCAGAGCTACTTCAGATTTTGCAACACGAAATCAGTTGCCCCACCGCATACAAGATCAAATGTTGTCACACATATGCTTAAGATTCAAAACAGAAGGACTGAAGCAACAAGAGACCCTAAATAGTTTGCCAAAAGCCATTCGCTCAAGCATTGCACAGCATCTCTTCTTCCACGTTGTGCAGAAAGTCTATCTCTTCCAAGGAGTTTCTCATGACTTCCTCTTTCAGTTGGTAATACTTCACATGTCTAACTATATTTCTCCATATCATTCTTCATCCATTGTTCTCCCTTAAGGCAAAAATAGTATCTTAAATAAAAAGCCCAGAACTCTGGTGAGATCCACAAATTTTGGTGTATATTGCGCAATGGTACACATATATCACTTTTTCTTCGAATTTCATTTTCACAAGATGCTAACGCAATTTACTACTACTCCATTAAAGGTTTCAGAAATGGATGCTGAGTATTTCCCACCCAAAGGAGATGTCATCCTGCAGAATGAAGCCCCGACAGATCTTTATATACTTGTCTCAGGAGAAGTTGTAAGTAAGCTTATTTTGATGTCTGCATAACAAAAAAAAGTAAACAATACCAATTTCTGACATTAATTTGATGACTGGTTGATCCCTGATTGCAGAACTTAATCTCCCACGCAGATGGACATGATCAGGTATAAGATATTATTTTAACATCTATAATATTTTTCCTTTATGGTAAAAACAGTACAAAAAATTTTACATGTCCGTATGTGATGTACAGGTTATTGGAAAGGTAGCTGCAGGGGATATGTTTGGAGAGGTTGCAGTTCTATGTTATAGGCCACAGCCATACACGGTTCGGACCACCGAGCTTTGTCAAATACTACGACTGAATGGAACTTCACTGATGAACACCATACAAGTAAATATGGAAGATGGATGTGTTATAATGCATAATCTTTACATGGTAAATATCATATTAGACAACTTCTGTAGTGATGGAACACTTATTAAACAACATGAAGTGATGGTTTTTTATTGCAGAAATTGAACGGGCTTAAGAGCAACAGCTTTAACAAGCACAATATAGATCCGGGTTTGACATGCAATAAATGGCTTGGGGGAGGAGCAATGAAAGGAAGTTGTTTGGATGCAGGATTTGAAGATCAACCACAGAGAAATACATCTACGAAAGAAGCAATAGACGTAGATTTGTTGGGATCAGAGGCTATAGAGAAGAGTCAAACAGGTAGATTTCCAATGAATGGAAATTCAACAACAGAGGATGGCCAAACAGCTCTCCATGATGCTGTTTGCAAGGGGCATATTGAAATGGTCAAGGTTTTGCTCGAAAGAGGAGGAAGTGTAAATAAGCCAGATGTAAGAGGAAGAATGCCAAAAGCATTGGCAGAACAGCGGGGAAACGAGAGCATACATGAGCTCTTACTGAGTTATGAAAACAAAAGAAAATTAGATGAACATAGGATAGACATTATCGGGACAGAAACAGCAGATGAACCGCAGAATAGTCAGATCAAACATAGAAGTGGGGCCCAAAATTTCTTCAATTCACTCAGTTATAGAGAGGAAATACTACCGACTAAGAAAAGAGTTACTATTCACATGCAGTTCCAGTGCAGCAGCAGTACATCAAGTAGACAACATGGAAAGTTGATACTCCTACCTGATTCAATACAAGAGCTGCTCAGAATGGCTGGTAAGTCTGACCAGAAAAAAGCACTTGAAAATAAACCTGAACATATGGGGAAAACAATTATAAATCAACTTCAAATGTGACTAGAATCCAAATAGATTAAAACAAAGAAAAAAGAAAAAAACGATAAAGGGACTTTTAAACCAAGAACAGGAACCAGAAAGCCACTTTAGTATGATTACCTGCTTTTGCTCTATTCATTTCTCATTCTATAACCTTGTGAAACTGCAGGGGAAAAGTTTGGAGGCTACCCATTCATAAAAGTCGTTAATGCTGAGAATGCAGAAATAGATGATATACATGTCATTCGAGATGGTGACGATCTGTTTCTCCTTCAAGATGAAGGTGAAAATGTAGATATAAGTCTGACCTGATGAAACTAAAAGGGCAGTCATGAATAGATGCAGACAGTTTGTAACCTTTAGGGAATGCCAACGATAATAAAATAATAACAAAAATATAACAGCATCAGTTGATTTGGGAGTCAAAATTGAAATTATACTGTTAAATCAGAGTGGTCCATCACATATGGTCATATCTCACTCACTATTTTGGTGGGCAAAACCCCAGCCACACAACCTAAAAAAATGTCTATCAGAACAAATACATGTGACAATCCTGTCATGATTTGGTGGGCCAAGTAAATACCAACATAAGCGTCTAAGTGCAGATCAATCCATTGATGAGTTGAACACATGTAAAGTTAAGCCACCGCCTTTGGTAAACCGGGGTCCTGGGCAAGTAGGCACGGACTGCCCTCAGAACAAGATTATCTACCAAACAATGTTAAAGACAAATGTACTATGTGCCCAGGCCAAGAGACATCCAGTGGTATAACAGAGCTATCCCCAAAGAGCAAGTATAAATACTTCAACGTTTACACCAAGGAAAAAAGTCTCCATGTTGTCTCTTCTTTGAGAAGGTGACATCATCTAAGGAAGTGTATCCGCCGGAATCCACCTTTGTGTATTTCTCAAATGACTCAAAGATGTGCCAACCCCATTCACAATATCTGCAATGCAGTGTATTAGAAAAAAAAAAAAAGGGTTCCACACATGTGCATTGGTAGACATAGAAATTAAATAATAGGAAAGAGAGACTAGAAACAAAAGAACTAAAAGAGTATCAGTTTGGTTCAAGTAATGCGATACAATGCAATACAAACAAGGATTCAACAGTTTCATGAAGCAACAAATTGTGACGGTCAGCATGTTTGATTATTATGTCATTTACATATTCTGAACTCTTATTTCCACCGTCAAGACCACCTTCAAAATATTCCTGTTTCAATCCAATCAAGTCAGCAGATCATTACCTATCATAATTATACAATATGCAAAAAAAGAGTGGTCTTATATAAATGAATAAGCAAATATGAATCATTTCGGTGCACACGAAAATTAAGTCGATCCGATACTGTTTTCAAGAAACTAGTTAAGCGAAAACAACTATCTTTAGTATGGAAGTATGCAATTTCAGGAGCCAGACCAGTGAAAGTTACTGAATACATCTCAAAACATGTCTTGGCTAAATCTTCTGCAAGTTTCAAGTTTTCCAGGTCTTCAAATGTAAGAAGGTTGTCCTTCATAGCTTTCTCCTTTATGACACCTTTAGTAGCACCAAGAGCAAGAGTACCACGCAAAAAAACACACCTGGTAAGTACAGTAAAATTACTTTCACATCAATGAAGGATGTTTTCACGAAAGTCAATAATTAATACAGAAATGTAACTTACGCATTCATGTACATGAACAACTACAGCTGTATTATATTAGAAACGCTGTGGTGGGAAGAACTCTTCCACTTACTAACTGTTTCCTAGCACTAGTCAGCACGATAGTTTTGAAAAGAAAAAACCTCCAATCTACAGTATACTGCTTTGGAGGTGTGAGCTAATAGCGTAGTTTTGATGGAAAGCCAATAAGTTTTGATGCCAAGGAAAGAGAATAAAACTTCGCCTTCCCCGGCGATTGAAGGTTTATCGGAAGGAAGAAGGAAACCCCTTGTTGAACCCATAGGATAGACCCAAAGAAAATTCAAAGAGTGGGCTTCATATTTAGGTATCTAAGGAACATTTAGTATGAATTTCATAATATTGGATGTGTGGAGACTAAAGTCCTGGTTTGCTTAACACAATAATACACGCTTCTTTCAAGAAAATGAGGAACAAAAGAAAAAAGTGACACCATATTCTCAAGTTTACAAGCCTAGACCTTATGTCCTAGAAACACAGCACGTGGTAGCTTAACCTGAAAAAGATTCTAACTCTATCAATAGTAGGAAGGCAGGATGAGGGAAAATTTAACATCTATCACCTAAAATAAAGAATTAAAAATTTCCATTTAGCTGGGTATTCCTTAAAACTCAAGGATTAAGAGAGCACCACATGCCAGGCGCTCCATTTTTGCACTAAAAGCTCCCCTGGATCCATAAGGCAATTCCCTCGCAAAAACCAGTTCATTTGGCTGATTTCCAAACAAGCGTCTAACACCCCTCATATCATATAGACATGTGAAATCACCACCCTGAATAGCTCATTGCTGTAGCCACACTTTAATTAGGCACTCATAATAGCTATCACCTTTAGATCCCAGTCTAATATTTTCTCCACTAAATTCACCAGAATAAGGGCTGCATTTCATGGTAAGATGATAAAGAGAATAAAAAAATACTCACCAGAATGAGGGCTAAACTTAGTAGGAAGGTGATATCAGGACTAGATAATCATAAATAAATAATTATCATGATGATGACAATGATGATAAGTATAAAACGATGTAAATGGCAGATAAAGCATATTGACATCAATCAATCATTTTGGAAGTTAAGATTTATAATTGAACAGTCTTAAAAGATTCTCATTGATCACATTTTTGGAAGTCATAAAAGAAATAACACAATTACAAAAAGGGAAAATATCAAGCCACCTCTTCTTACATGATCTTGTAAATCATTTGCAGCTAACAAAGAATTCTTCTTTCTACCCGTGCAATGATAAGTTGTGCACACGTAGCCTAAAAAACTGTTTCGTCTCCATCACAGAGTAGATTGTGAACACATGAGACCAATTCAATCACTAGGAAAAGATCTCCCAGTAAAACAAATTGTTACTAAGCTACACTAAGTCAATAAGCAAAAAGAACTTCTACCATATAACTAAAAGATGAAAATTATTTCAAACAATCTACTATGTCACGTTGTCATTGCCCTGGGTCTAATGTCACATCCAGCCAACGACAATACCAAAGTATTCAAACTTTATTCCATATCTACCGGTTAGGTCAAGTAAATGACAAGCATATCTAAATTCAAAAAGAGCGCAAGCCATCACACTGCTTTAGCCAAACAGGAAATCTGTAGATAACCTTAGCTTGCTGATGGTCAATCTAAAATTTAAAACAATTGAAGAAAAAATGCAACAGGAAAAAGAAAACAATAAAGGCAGAGAAAGAAACAAGAAACAAAGAAATCCACATGTTTCGGCCATCCAAAAAAGGTAACAGAAGAAAAAAAATTCCATTGATATAAATGAAAAACCTAGTTATGACATTGTTTTCTACTGTGTTTGATGACTAAAATCAGTTATCCAAGCAAAAGAAAATTTCCATCAACCTAAACTCGGCAGGCTAGAAAATCCTAAAATGAAAAAAAGAAATACGTGGCCATTTAAAGTAATAATGATGGCTAGTGTGGCATATTTGAAGTGAAAGAAACACACCTGATGTATATAGGTACTAGTCTTTCCACCTTCGGCAGAGTTTTCAAATGCGCTAAAACCTTCATCCCTTCTGTACTATACTTTGGATCACCAGAAATTGCACTGAGGTAATTGAACTCAAGCTGTAAAGTGGAAACTTCTAAAGTACTACTCAGTCGATCAGGAGCTGGACAAGTTGAGGAATCACGTAGCATGACATCACTGAAAGGAATGGCAGTTGGACAGGAAGTAAAAGCAGATAGCAGACGATCAGCCAAGTTCCTTGCAATGGCTAGATAAATAGTGGGTTTTGGCCCCTTGTGTGCTGAGATCAGGCCTTGCCCCCCGCCCCCCCCCACCAACTTAAATGATATGCACTCAATAGACCACCCAAAACACATTGTGGTTTCAAATAAATTAACTTCCCCTTTCTGACTAATCCTTTCTAAAAGGTGCGATTCCATCCACGAGGCTACTTCAGAAACAACTTCATCTAGAACTATTATCATGGCAGTATCAAGAGCGTCTACAACTGTAGCACCTAGACCTCCAAGTCCATCAACTCATGCCGGCTCAGTGGCATAAGCTCATCTTAACCCATTGCGAACTGTTTATAGCCGGACCATGCGTGAGTTAAAGACTCCTTTACATTTTCTTGCCTAGCATTCCATTTTTCTTCAACATTAGGCTCGCTTGATTTACCAGTAAAATTACCATAAGTAACTTTTTCATCCAGCGATAATCGAGGAGGAAGCTAATGCAGACTACTTGAAAATGAAAGAAATAAGCTAAGACTGCCAAATATTTAGCAATCTAGTTAGAAATTTTAGCCATTTTTTTCCACCATGAGCACATCAGGCAATTCAGTAAATAGGCTGTCAGTGGTTAACTGTTAAAACTGACTAGGAATAAGTATAACAATTAGTTATGCTCCAAACACCAAATTAAAATGAGATTTCATACATCAAGCAATTAATTAGTGATGTGAAAAATGAATTTGTAAAACTTAATATGCAGCACGCATTGTAGACACTCCAATCTGCCTAGGGTTCTACTTATTTCTATTAATTAAAAAAATAAATAATAAAAATGAAAAATTAAGAAAACTTTAAGGAGGTTGGATCTATTTAGGATTGTTTCTTTGGGGTTGTTATCATAATTGAAGTGGGAATTAAAAAGGGAAATCAAAATCCTGTTGATATAGGGTTCTTTGGATTAGAACCCTATAAATACAAACCCTAATCAAGCCTCATCACACAACAAATCAAAGACAAAAAAGCAAAGAGAAAAATACACACAAGAAAGTAGAAAAAATATACGGCAGAAGGAAAGGAGATTAGCAAAATCAAAAAAAAATTTTGAAGATTTTTTTCTACAAAAAATCTGGGAAATCCCAAGATTCCAGGGATGTTTGAATTTTCAACATGTTTTTTAAAATCCGTTGAAGATTCCTGTAAAATTTGAATTTTTGAAAAACTTCCGATGAACCAACCTAGATTCCGACAAAATTTTCTAAAATTTGACGAAAAGTCAACTGAAGTTCTTCGGATTTAGAGAAAGAGAGAGAGAAAAGGGAAAAAGAGAGACGGAGTAGAGAAAATCTGAAGAAAAAGAGATTTTTGGCTTATTTATACCTTACCAAAACAACACTGTTTTCGCCTTAAGCATCCCTCAAGATCCACACCTTTCCATTCGAGTAACTTGACCTGAGCACCAACCTATTTTGTCAAATTGCGTCCCAGCCAAATCTTTCTGTCGAGTTGAGCCTCCAAGCCTCGTCTCAAGCCGCTTTCTATGTCTATAGCAAAGCCTTTTAGTCGTTGAGTCGAGTCA